GGGGAGGGGGGGGAGGGGTTGAGGACAAGGGAAGAGGGTAGTTATTCTTTTGAATCAACAGATGTTAATATGTGAGAATCTAAGTCATCCCTCATCCAAGCACTCCCAGACAAAGTGGTTTCGGAACAGGAAAAAAAGAACCCCTGCTTTATGATCCAGGAAGGAAGATAATACAGGTTCACCTCTAGCTTCCTTGTTACACTTCTAAAACCCCACCAAATCCCTATGTCTCTCACTAGTTTGGAGACAAAGAAAAAGTAGTAAAAAAAGGAAGTGGTGGTTCAGATGAAGTGGTTTCTTTTCAGTTTTTTCCTTTACACCAAATTTGACAGCTCAAAATGTAGTTCGTTAGCTTCTGACTGAAAAAGCGAATGAAAAAGAAGTATGGGGGCGGGGCTTTGAAACTTATTGGATTATGAGTAGTTTTAGCTACAGATCACCTTTCTATTTCCTCTATAAATACTGCTCCATAGTCCACTTGGTCTATAACATGAGTGACGTCCTTGTTTTGCTGTGCTTTGGTGTTCCTCAATGGACAAGATACATCACAGCCATATGATAATCCACTGAGATTTGGAGATGTTGCAGGTTGAACAGCCATACATATAATCCTCCTCAAACCCTCCAGTGGCGGGAGCCTCGTGCACTTATGAATAAATATATTTGTATGATATGCAGATATGTGCCTGGCTCCCTGTATGCCATTTGCAATGTCCATCCATATATTGGTGGCCTTTGTGGATGGCTTGCGAGGAGCCATGCATGCTGTTATTAATTGTGTACATCTCTCTCTCTCTCGTTCCCTTGTTATGCATAAATGTCCTTCACCATGCATAAATGTCCTTCTCCATGGAAAAGTGGAGACCTGAAGAGTCCATTTATAAATTTTTTCCTATGTCCATATACATTCTTTCCTTTCACAATGTTTTGAAGTACTGCTATAGCTAATTTCTGTACACCAACAGCTGCATACATAGTTACAATATGTGTTTTTTTTCTGGACAAAATCTAAGTTGAGCTTAACATGATGAAACAATTCTCCAAGCAGAGTTTTGCAGGGTTTGGACAGGGCATTCATGTTAGAGGCATACCTTCCATGCTCCTCGATTGGGGGCAGAAACTTCTTGATTGGAACAAATTTGTGTCGCATTGATCAACTGATTGGCCATCGTTGCGCAGCATTAAACCTACTACATGTCTTGTAGTATCAGCAGAGCAATTCAAAAACTCCCATTATGTATTCGGGTTTTTTGTTTTGGCAATAAGTCAATAAGCTCCTGTTCGTTCCAAGTTTTTGTTCTGGTCGTTTAAGATCTCGACATTTGAAAGGAAATCATTCTCTGTGGTTCAAGAATGACTTGAAAGACTAGATGATGCTCAAAATCATAACCACAGACTGTTTGTTCTTTTTTTGATTTTCTTACCAATTTGAGTGGGTTGATCTCTGCATTCAAGATCAAACAACTCCATCGAGTATGAATGAAGCTGATATAATCAATCTCATTGGCCAAGAGTAACCTCTAATTTGTATTCGGATGTCCCATTTGCATAAGTGATGTATGATTTTCATGCTCCACATACTGATTATGGTATTCTATACTTTGCAAGGCGGAGCTTGGTGTTCTCTTGAACTCAAGGCGAACCAATCTTCAAGAATCCGACGGCGCTTTCATTCGGAAAACTTCCCTATAGCACAGGATTAACTAGCTGGAAAAGGTCGTTAGCATTGTTCATCTGCAATGCCTAAAGATAAATGTGCAAAAAAGAACTAATTTTCATCCATGAGAAACCAAGCAAGCTAACAATGCGATCATCTCACAAATCGCAGTTATCCCATATTGAGATTTACACAGTCTTACCACATATACAAAGAGGCTGCTTCTACGACTTGATTCCATTACATATCCAATTAAGAATAGAAAAAGTTCTAAAATAATTCATGATAGACAAAATAAAACTGTAAATTNACAAATCGCAGTTATCCCACATTGAGATTTACACAGTCTTACCACATATACAAAGAGGCTGCTTCTACGACTTGATTCCATTACATATCCAAGTAAGAATAGAAAAAGTTCTAAAATAATTCATGATAGACAAAATAAAACTGTAAATTTCCCCTGTTTGCTATACAAATGGGCACAATGCCTCATTTTTGAACATATGAAACCAATCCAGCTAATAACATGATTATTTTCAACACAACCGGCCCTTCAAGGTAAGGCCTTCATACAATCCTAATTCTCTTTCAGTTCTTTCTATAACAATCNAGCACAACCACCCCTTCAAGGTAAGGCCTTCATACAATCCTAATTCTCTTTCAGTTCTTTCTATAACAATCGCTAACTATAAAACAACAATTTCTGGTACTAGGTACGCCCTTTTTAGACGGTACTGATTCTGTATAGCGCCATTCCATCTTCCTGTCATATAACGCTCACATNACAATCGCTAACTATAAAACAACAATTTCTGGTACTAGGTACGCCCTTTTTAGACGGTACTGATTCTGTATGGCGCCATTCCATCTTCCTGTCATATAACGCTCACATTCAGTTTGCTTTCCAGCAGAGGATTTTTCCTTTTTGCTTGGCCATTTAGTAGGCCATTTCTTGAAGAAGCTACACATGGTTTCTCTAGCAATATTCCTGAAGAAGCTTCATGCCATATTCTTGAACATAGCTAAACCACTGTCCAGTTCAAAACTCTTCTCTCTCTCTTTCTCTCTCTGTAGGTGTGTTGCAAAACCGGTGTGCTTCTTGAACATGTATCAATTCTCTCTACTTGAACTGTATTTGTTCAATCAACACACCTAAGTCCAAATCCTCCACTTACAAAATTTTACCTGCTTATGCAATTGTCTCACAATTTTTTCCTTTTATGTATACATACCCGTGGGATTTAAATACCAACATGGTGTGGGTTATAAATGCATTTGAACTGGATTAAATTGTATTGCTTCTAATTTTTGACTTATAGTTTCGTAGTTTCGGGTTTAACACATTACTGTGTATTCTAAAGAGAATGAAGTGCTGCTCAGCAAATATTGACTTATTATCGATATTTTTTTTTCGATCTGTTTCTGTTTTATATTCTATTATGGATTGAATCACCAATTAGTGCAATACCTTGTTTAAATAAATTAATTTGACATGTTTGATTAAGCTTGGGATTGCATAATTGACCTATGTATTTAATATGTTGGTCCTTCTATGATTATCTATGAATTGTTGCATTCTATGTTTACTTAGAAGGCGTTCTATGACAAAGAAGAGCTTAATTGAATGATTATTCTTGTTCTTGCCTTTTCATTCGATAACTTTTAGTATGTTGAATTGTATTTGTTTTGGGGTTGATTACGATTGTCATAATAGAACTTTTCTTTGACCAAAACAATCTCTAGAACAATCCAAAATTTTTCTTCTCTAAATCTACGTTGGCCTTATGTTCCTTAAGACTTTNTGTTTTGGGGTTGATTACGATTGTCATAATAGCACTTTTCTTTGACCAAAACAATCTCTAGAACAATCCAAAATTTTTCTTCTCTAAATCTACGTTGGCCTTATGTTCCTTGAGACTTTTTTGGAAAATAGAGTATCGCGGACTCTTAATTTAGAAAGAGGAATTTTTTATGGTACTTAATTAGATATTATTTTGTTAAGAGAGCTAGAGAGAATACTATAACTAGCGAGAGAGAGAGAGAGACAGAGAGAGAGATGGCTTAAAAAGGTGAAGTGTATATCCAAACTTACTCAAGTCTGTTGAGAACAAGTATAAGCCTCCTATTTGTAGGAGAGTGAAAGAAATCTCAAACAGCAGAGATGATCTCTAATGTTAAAGTATAAACAGGGCATAAGTTTGAAGACATACAAGTGATGAGACCGTAAATCCAGGGGGTCACATGCCTAGAATAAAAGGGAGAGCAAGATTTTCGATTTGGACATCTTGTAGAGTAGAAGTAATTTAAGCCCCATTGAAGCTTAGTATATTCTTCAAATATTGATATTAAGTAGATAAAAGAAAGGGTGGGACTATTCTCATCCCACAAATTTTTATTCTCACTCATTCAATTTGGACTTTGTTTAATTTTTTTGTTTTATTCTAATATATAGTATAATTCTATTTTAAATGACTTAGAACCCTTGTTTAATTTTTTTTCATTTTATTTCCATATATAGTATAATTGTATACTAATTACAATTTTTTTTAAAAAAATTAGATTTTTATTTTTAATTTTATTTCAGTATATGATATAATAGAACATAAATTTTTGTTATAAAATATAAAATATTTGTTATTTTATTTTTGATTGAAATTTTTTTAGTCTAAGTATAATATTTTAAACTTAAGGGGTTTAAGTATGATACGTCTACAAATTTCAAGGGGTCTGAGTGTAATTTACTAACAGATATACTAACGGATATCGACGATAAAAGTCTAAGTATGACATGTATATAAATTTTAGGGAATTTTTGTATAATATTTCAAATATCAAGAATTTAAGTAATTAAATGACGAATCACAAAAGATTTACAATATTTTTACATTAAAAATGATTAACATCTAACATTATTTATTTAACTTTTTTATCATTAGATTGATAACGAATCTAATACAATGATAAATGCATGACACTAGCTAGTAGTAGATTGGACCAAAAGTAGGGTAGATTAGTAAACTATTCCACCACCCATTTCGTGGGCTCTATTGAAGAATTAGGGTATTTTAATTGGCTTGTGCTCAATCTAGCAACACCTTCTTTAAGGCGCACTTATGGACGCAAAACATTGTTTATTATAAAGTTAGGCACTAACAAAAGGTGAATAATATACCAAACCGGAGGGTGCACAATACGGGTCCCCCCTCTTTGGCCGTCGATTAAAATGACGTCGTTTTACGTAAAAATAATATTATTTTATTTAAAAAATGATATCATTTTAATTTTTAAAAAATATAATCACACCTCCTCCAATTTATCATGTTTTTAAAAACATTCCCTCTAATTTCTAAATTCTCATTGATACCTCTATCAAATTAAAAATTTTAACTAAAATACAATTTTATTAAATTACTCATGATATGTTTTAGAAAAACTTCATCTTTTTTTATTTGGGGGGGAGGGAAAAAAGAGGAGGAGGACTTGAACCATTGACATCAAGAAGACAAAGTTTTCACAAGTTAAAGAGTTTCGTGAGACCAAATATCTATGGATAAAAAAAAAAGTATAATACAATACGTATATATGAAATTTTCGTTGTCGCCGGGAGATGAAAGTGTCTGTGAATGAGATAATTTCATGTTTCAAAAAAAAAAAAAAAGAAATGATGGGAAAGTTAGAGATCTTATTACAGAGAGCATATTAATATTTGTTTCTAACATTTTTTTTCTTTTTGGGTATGGATAGGATGGGTAATTCTACAGCACCCAAAAAAAAATAAAAATTGGCACCATAATGAAAGTTGGTACTTTTTAAAATATAAGTTACACATTTGAAAATGAAATTATAAATGTTTGAGATAAATTCATGATCAATCATAAAATATTATGATCGATCATGAATACCCGATCATAAAAACTCTTTTATCAGTTGTAACTTTATGTTTAAAATATGTAACTTTAATTTTAAAATTTATAACTTTATTTGTAGGATGAATTGCACTTCGTTGACGGAATGATTATCGAAAATTAACGGAATTGTCATATTATAATATTTTTAATACATTAAAGGTGCAATGTGAAAAATCTCGTCTCACACATAATAAAGTTTTTAAAACTATTAGAGGTACAAAGTGAGATTCCCTTACTTTTATAAGTTTATTACCTTCATCATTATATTTTATGATAGGTCGTGCTTTTTTTTTACTTAATAGCTATGTACCATGTGTGTTACATATAAATAGTTTTCGTACATAAAAATTAAAAAAATATATTAATTATATATGTATTTGAATTAACTATTATCTCAAATTTATTAAACTTAATTTTTTATTACTCATATTCTATTATATGATTATGAAAACTTTATATGTTATCAAAATTTTTTGTTCTAATTTTTTTAGAATTTTTGTGATTGAGATTGATTTTTTTAGTAACGTTTGAGAAATTAAATTTTTTTAAATTCATTTGATTAGGGTTCCATTTATAATTTTTTAAATAAAATAAAGGTAATTGTCAATATATTAACTACATTGGAATTGGAAATTTACGAATTAATTAGGTCAATTATGATAAGATTTAATATACTTATGTTTTTAAATCACTAAATTAAAAGACTTTTGGTCAAATTGTATTTTTTATCTTGTAAAGATTTTACCTTCTTGAAATCAAGAGTTCAAATTCTTCACCCAAAAAAAACAAAAATAATATAATGTTCTATAATATATATTATCAAACATATTAAAATTTTTAAAAATTAAACTTTTACTTAAAAATACACCGTAATATCTATTTTTATATAAAATTTTAGAATAACTTAGGAAATTTATTGTGACTAAAAAATTATACTGATGTAATATAAATTGATTTAACAAAAAAAAACTATATATTCAATTATTTTTTATCTTAGAAATAAAATGTTTAAATTTTTTGATGAAAAAAAAAAAGGAATATGTGGACATAATGTTACTTTTGCAGATGAAATGAATAATATTAGATTGATGAAAGTTTTTTTAAGAAAATTGAACACTTTATTGAAAAATATAATAATGCATATTTTTTTAAACTTAATATAATCAATCAAATTTTTTTTATAGAAATTGATTAAATAATTAAAAGAGATTTTATAGATAATTTAAAATTTTAAAGACATAAGGATGTGATAATAATTTAAATATTTAATTATGAAATGATAGAGTAATTTTTTCAATCTTTTATACGGTTAAAATAGAGATTCAAAAATACTTTTATTAGGAATATAATATTGATAACTTTTGTCTCAAATAAGAAAGAATCTCACTTTATACCTTAAAATTTTGAAGTTTTATTTTATTTTATACCTTCAAAGATGAGATTTTTTATATTATACCCTCAATATATTAAAAATATTATAATGTGACCCTTCTGTTATTTTTCGTTGCTTATTTCATTAAAATTCACTTTATTGTCGTTGACGAAATTAATAATAGAATCTAACGAAAAAACTATAGTATAATACTTTTAATATATTGAGAATATAATATAAAATTTAATTTTTAAAAATATAAATATAAATACTTAAAATTTTCAAGATACAAAGTATAATTCACCGACATAATCTTCCACTAGATAGGTTTATATCATTTAATTTTTACTTCCAAAAAAACATTATTAAATCGAAATGAAAAAGAAAGCTACCAACTTTAGCATAATTTTTTCTCTACCTTATTGATGATGGTGGAGTTGCGAGTGGAGCTTTTACGCAATCCCCATTACCATTACCATTACCTTCCAAACCAACCCATCATAAGATTCTTGTTCCACTTCCCTCCCTCTTTTCTCTCTCCCCTTCCACATTACATTCAGCACTCTCCGCACGTACCCACCTTGTACGTGTATCCTCTGCTCTATCTCTTTAGTTCTCCTGAAAAATATAGTCGAAAGTTCAATAGTTTTCACAAATTTTAAGATTTTCTGTATTGGGTTTCTGTTATTTTCCCTTTCTAGTTCGTCTAGAAGGAAAATTATTCTGACCCACATCTTGAGTTGGAACAAGAATTGTAATCTTTGGTAGTCTTTATACCTTCCTCTGTTTCCAGATTTCGTTAAGGTTAGTGTATTTCGTAGTTTTTGTAAAAGAAAGATAACATGGGTAACATGGGAAGTGGTGTTAATGGGCGCCGGAGACACGGTAGCGGTAGGCGGAGCCACCCGCCTCCCCCACCACCGCAGCTGCCACCTTCGCAGCCTGAAATTACCGCGAACCGATATGTATTCGCGGCGGCGACTCCATATCCGAACCCGAACCCTCCTCCCTATTATCACTACCCGGGGTACTATCAAGGACTGCCTCCGCCTCCGCCGTTGCCGGCTCCGCATGATCACCACCACCGCCCTCCGTCACACGTGGACCCTCATTGGGTGGGTGGTCGGTACCCTTATGGGCCTAGTGGACACCCACCTGCTCCTTATGTGGAGCATCAAAAGGCGGTGACTATAAGGAATGATGTTAATCTCAAGAAGGAAACTTTGAGGGTTGAGCCAGATGAGGAGAACCCAGGGAAGTACCTCGTTGCTTTCACATTTGACGCTACCGCCGCGGGAAGGTATAGCTTTGCTTGAATTATGTGGGAAGATTTATATTTTGTGGTTCTGTTAATAATTTGTCTACCACTGAGATGCTAGAGAAGTCTGATGTGTTAATTGAATGCAATTATCGAGTGATTGTGATTTCTTTTGTAGACGATGAATCGTGAAAAGTTCTTGACTAATTCAAATTTGAAAGTAGGGATATTTTGCGTTTCACTTTGTTGTTGGTATGTTTTAAATTATTGGATGATCTTTGAGGAGTTTTTCGCATGTAAAAGTAACTGCAGCTCTCATCTTTGAGGATGGATCAAGTGATGCTTTGGGGTTGCCTCCATTTTGATTTATTCTTTGACAATCATGTACTCTTTCCTTGTTTATGTGACTTCTAAGAATTTTTGTGGAAACATGTGAATTTGTAAGGCTAGCCCAATGGCAAAAGTTTCGATAAGGGATTGGAGGCGGCATGTTGAAAATGTCTAGTAATGAAGTTGAAAGTGATTTTAGGCTCCTTATTTTTATTGGCGTTTTTCATATAATACATCAGTCGATATATAAAGCTGTTGAATTGGCCAAAGTTTTTCAGATTTGAGGAGAAAATTGTGCTACAGGCATGAATAGGAGTAATAAGTGAGACCCTGTTGTGAGAGCTACTGGCTTGAATAAGAGTAATAAGTGACACCATGCTATAAGAGTCATAAGTGAGAACCTACTACGATCATTAATATGGGTTAGATTGGTAACCTGCCATAAGATGAAAAAGTATCGACTACGCTCAACTTGTTTTGCTTTCTAGTTCAAGGTTTTCAATGTTGTTTGAGCATATGCCCTTGGGCAAGGAGCACATGAGTTACCAAGAGCTTTGCAGGCCTTTCATATTCATGCTAATTGATATCAACATTAATCTTGTGTTTGTGTTGCTTTATTGGAGCATATATGTTATTACCATAGGCAAAAGGTCAATTTTATGCAGGGGATGTAAGAATGATTCGAATTGATATTGTTTATGAAGCATTAGCTTGTGCTTGATCCCAGGACAGGGTTGACTTAGCTATATAGATTGGCTGGAAAATGATTGGGTTTGGAGCCGGTGCACATGCGATTGGCTATTAAATTTGTTTCACTAAATTTGGTTCAGGATGGCGATCATTTTTCAATTCTCCATGTTTTTTCGCATTCCAATTTTTAGTTGTCCAAGTAATGGAAATGGTACTGTGGGTAGCCTAATTAAATCCAATAACTTTAGTTTATTAGAACAGGCAGCAGCCTTATGAAAATGCATGGGCTTCATATCCCCACGCTGTCCCAGCATCTCCATCCCATTGCCCTCCCCCACGAGAGGAGAGTAAGATGATAAGTTAAAGATTGAAAAAGGGAAGGAGCAGTAAGAATTTCATATGAGTGGGAAGTAGTTAAATGTACAACGTGGAAGAATTTGACAGGAGAAAAATCTAATAAGTCAAAAATAGAAGACTAATGATGCATACAATACTTGAATTCATCTGTCGAATTCTCAATGTAGATGCTAAATGGTTCTCATCGTTCAAAGACTACAAGTGTAATAGGAGAATCTATGCAGAACATAAGATTTGGATAAGGTATCATTTTATATACTTCTGCTGTTTTAGGACATCCTGATTACTTGTAATGCTGTTTGTGTTTAATATTGTACCGTTTGAGATTGCTTGATGCGTTTGGTTTACGTTGGTCTTTTATCCATTTATTTTGTTTGTCATATTTGCTCTTCAAACATCATATCTTTTTCCCAGATGACGTGAGGCTTTAGATTGATTCTGCTTATTCTAGTCATTTTTCGATGTACTTTTTTGCAAAAGGGGCGATGTTCTGATTAAAGTTTCATTTCCTTTGCTCTCCTAACAGCGTCACCATAATTTTCTTCGCAAAAGAGGGTGAAGACTGTCATCTGATGCCAATGAAGGAAAGCTTGCTTCCACCAGTGACAGTTCATTTTCAGCAAGGTTTGGGCCAGAAGTTCAGACAACCCTCTGGAACTGGGATAGACTTCTCAATGTTTGTGGAGACGGAATTATTGAAAGAGGGTGACATGGAAGTGTATCCTCTAGCAGTGAAGGCTGAGGCCTCTCCAATTAATCAAAATGGATCAGCAGGTGGAAACTCAGAGTCTGGAGCCACAAACTCCCAGATAACACAGGCACTGTTTGAGAAGGAGAAAGGTGAATACCAGGTGAGAGTGGTGAGGCAGATCTTGTGGGTGAGTGGAATGAGGTATGAGCTGCAGGAGATTTATGGGATTGGGAATTCAGTTGATGGTGACTTCGACAATGATCCGGGAAAAGAGTGTGTTATCTGCCTATCGGAACCTCGGGACACAACTGTCCTTCCTTGTCGGCACATGGTATCTCTCTCTCTCTCTCTCTCTCTCTCTCTTTTTAGAGGAGGAATATGAAGCATCTTCTAGTAACCCAATTTAGTCACACATTATCCCAGTTGATTAGTGCAAGGTATCTTTGACATTTTTCGTGCACGTTATTGTGATTGGGAGGGGTGCTGCCTTTCTAGTGGCTGGCTGTTGCAATGATTTCATGGAAAAGGGTTTTAAAGGCATAGTTTGTTATGCTGATTCCAACAGAATTTATTGTCTAGTGGCTTTCTCATTGATTATATATACTTCATTTTGCTGAGGTTATGTTGGTTAAAATATCTGCAAGACGGTCTGCTTGTATCTCACCTTACTTCCATTCTCAGAAAGCTAATGTTTCTGTTACGGATCTGAAGTAAGAGGCATGTCAATAGCTTGTTGATAACTAATTTTTTGCTGGGTTTCTTTTCTTGATGCAGTGTATGTGCAGTGGGTGTGCAAAAGTTTTGAGGTTCCAAACCACTCGGTGCCCGATTTGTAGGTGTCCTGTGGATAGGCTTTTGGAGATCAAGATCAGTGGTGGAACAGCCGATTGAACTTCACTGTCTTGTAAAGTTCTTAATTTCATTCTGTTTTTCATTTTTCTTTTTTCTGCATAACCCCCTCTCGGGAAAGGTAGGAATTTGCATCAATATATGCATTTATGCCCTGGGGATAATGTGCTATCTTAAATTGTTCTGACAAGTTTGGCATTTCTTCTTCAAGTATTGTTATTTGACTTGAGATATATAGTAAGTTTGGATTGCTTCAGCATTAGAAAGTCTATTTTTTCCTTTTTCTCCTGGTTATCTTTTCTTGAGCGGTGATTTTATTTATACCGTAGAGTTTACAGGCATCCAAGGCCTTGGTACATGCTTTTGTCAATGTTCGGAGTTTCATCCACTCACATAAAGGTACAGTTCATGATAGTTGGCCAGAGCAGCATTAATTTGGGATTACATAGTGGGTCTTTTAGTTTGATGGCTTGAAGGACAACGGAGGATTATATCACCGAATGCAGCTTGCTAGAGTTCCACAATAATCTTTTTAGTGTCATCAATTTAGCTCCTTCAGATACTTTTTTGTCAGCTTCCGGACATGCCCTCTAGCCATTTTTTCTATTTGCATCCCTGGAGTCCTATAGCTATCTTGCTGTAAATGAACAGCCGCAAGAAGAGCATCATACACATGCAAGTGCGTGACAAGCTCAAAAACAAGCTGCAGTCCGAGGAAATCTAGCAAATCGCTCAGTGAGTGGCATTCAGGGGATTTTTTGTGGTTCATTGGCCTGACCTTATCCTTTAATTGGCTCTCTGATCATGTTAACTGCAGTGCTTATTGAGACATTGCTGGGGCCTTCTTTATCATGGAAATCACAAGGAGGCTTCCAAAGCCATTTGGGAGTACTCTGAAATGCTTGATGTGACTTGGCTTTAGATGTTCAGCTAACTACTCAAATTTTTTCTGAGCCATATTCAACTTCTGTATACTATTTGAGAGACTAGCAACTTTGAAGGAAATTCGGACTGATTACATTTATAATCTATAATATAAAATAGGGTAGGTTTTAATAAATTCATATGATGGTTTCAAATAGACTCACTTAATAGTCACTAACATTATTTTTAAAATTATTCACATTGCACCCTGTATTTAGGCAAGAATTACCTCTAGTGTAATACTTACCGAGAAAAGTTACACATTGACAAGAATATTGCATGAGTTCTATACTAATTAATATGAATAGTAAATGTATGCATTTGATGCAAGTTACAAATAGTTTGTAACACAATGTATTTTTTATATAAATTTTTGATCGAGTAGTGTCCAAATTGTTTTAAAACTAAATACGTTTTCATTTGGTTGTCAAAAATTTTGATTAGGTAATATTTTTAATTAATGGGGAAATGCATTTTTGGTAAATTCAAAATAAATAGGAGATGGGTGAGTACTATTGGTGTGGCTACTAATTCTCGATTTACTCGAGCACGAAAATTTTGTGACACCAATTTTTTTTTTTTTATCTATTTTAGACTGCAGGGTTCAGGTTTATGCCGATTATTCTCTCGAGTTCAACGGTTAGTTACCGTAACTTGAACTGAGTTAGAACATGCTCCTAAAAGAACAAAGGTAGCTAATTTTTAAGAAGTGTGAGAAGAGATTTGAACGCGAGATCTCTACATTATCAAATATCAGGAACCACCCCCAAGGATTTTGACTCCGCCCCTTCAAAGATAGAGACATAGCATATGATATGATCAGTTATGGACTTGGCATTTGATCTAAGCCTGAGAAGGATGGCCAACAATATTGTAATGTTGTTGGCTAATCTCTCAAATAATAATAAGTAGTGCTAAATTAAACTCTCTTCTTCCTTTCTTAATTTCATTTCGTTAACAGAAATTTGATGGAATGGGACATCAAGCCCTTGTCCACATGCAACTATGCAAAAAAAATATCTGGGTGAAAGCTATCAAAAAAAAAATTAAATAAATAATTTTTGTGAGGTAGTGCCCATGGCTTTTTTATTTTATTCTCTCATTATCCCATGATATTTAGTGGAATGAAAATTATGAGGTTTAAGTTCGAGATGTAGTACAGTTTGGTCAGTGCATCTGGATCTGTTTTGGGTACTGACGGCTATATAGGTTCAAATTATCTCACCTTAATGTGACACTAAAGTTAGCAAATACTCAAATATGAATATTCATCGACCATAATCACCTCTTTTGACACGTAATTCGTATATTGACTTTCTATAACAAGCACACGAGACTTATAACTAAAGATCATATAGCGTCACAACATATATCATATACGAACCTAAACCTATATGGAACACTTCTCTCTTTCTCAATGCTTTCTTTAGGCTCTTGGCTGCTTGTTGCTAGAACACAACTAATGTTATGGCCTCACATCCTATTCTTTTTGAAGGATTCATCCTTCAAATTCTGAAAGTGTTGTAAGATGAGTGGAGCAAAGGAAGAATCTCTTACTCACTTAAGGGTAAGGTGTTAATGCCACTGGCTTGTTGGCTTGTTGGAGCAGTTAGACCGGCACTAGCTCCTAGCATTTTTCAAGTGTATCCTGTGTTAAAATGTGATGTCGAAAGATAGTACAATATTTTTTATCTAGACTGTTTTGATATACTTAAAAAGCTGTGACATCTGAAAAATGTTTGATTCCGTATATTTGAATCATCTCCGTTGAAGAAAAATCTTGAACTTGAAATAAGAACTATTTAAATTCGAAATTATCTAATAAAAGGATCCACAACTTTTAATTAAGAATATATACCTTAATGTAACAGTAGAGGCTGCCTAACTCTAAATAATATTTTTAAAAATTTTCCACTATCCAAGCATAAAGCTTTGTAAGAACACTTCCAACTAAGAGTCAACCCCCACAATCATTTCTTGTTCGAATAGCCCAAGAACTCCCTACCACTACCCATCAGGGATATGAATGAAGACCCTTCCTTTCCTTTTCAACTTTGATGATTGTATGAATCTAACTCTCTAGTTTCCTTTTTACCCCATCAGCACCACCATCATCATATCATATCATCATCTCTCTCTCTCTCTCTCTCACACACACACTGTGTCAAGAGCTCACAATCTTAAGTGAAGAAGCAGGGCCCAGAAGATAGAGAATCAATCCGAACTGAGAAACACGATAAGTGATGTGTTGGGATAATGGCATAGTTAGTGCTATTGTCTGCCGGCCCACTAGCTAGGCCGTTCTAAGGATTTTATAGGAAGAACATTACGTAAGAATCTTATAATGCCATCTCAAATTTACATTTTTTTTTTTGGGGAAATTTTCATTACATTTGAACACACAAAGTACAACCCATTATTGTGTATTGTGAAAAGATTGAAACTTTGCGCAAAAAAGCTAGTCATTTAAGATCATACGAATCTAGATTTCAGTGTCATTGTCACTACCACCATATAAAATAAACTCATTTTGTAATAATGTGGGTTTGCACATAATAACCTCTATGATTGCTTCAATGAAATTTCAATTCACCGTATAAAATAAACCCATTTTGTAATAATGTGGGTTTTCACATTATAAACTCTATGATGGCTTCAATGGAATTTCAATTACAACTCATCAAAGGCTATTATCCCATAGCACTTTAGGGAACTAGTTCCTTTCTCATTGTGTTTTGTTTTCTCTCTTTCCTATATACTACACCAAGCAAGAGAAACGAGATGAATCAAAAAGTTTTTAAGTATGGAATTCAAATAAATAGAAGAATTATACTTGACAGAAATGAATTTGCAGATTCATCCTAGTTGCAAGGATTCTTATCTTCCACCCACCCGTATAGACCGTAGTGTCATAGAATCAAATCACGTCTCAATCAAAAAAATTTCACCGATTCTTTTCAAAAATTTTGGGCAACAATGTATAATGATTTAGTTTTTTTTTCATTAAGAAATGATTAACTATGTCCATTCATTTCATCCATTGGACATTTCCTTGTTTCCATCTCATTCCTGCGTTAAAGAAACAGTGTTAGGTGCAAAAATAATTGATATCAACTTCCCAATTCATTCTACTTCTACAGAAAAAGATCACTTTCTTTGGAGTCATTAACCATATCAATCTTTCCAAGAAAAAATTTCAATGTATTATCTTGTTTTTTCGTTTAACGAAGATTACTATATACATATGTGAGCAGATAATGCATAATTTATTTATTTGTTTTTGCGATAAATTCAACAAGTACATTGCACACGGTTTAAGTTTTATGATATATTTTTTCCTTTCAACATACCACGTGTCATGTCGTGTTAAAGATTGTACACTTATTTCTTTCAACAACACTATTTTGTTGAAGTTGACATGTTTTTTTGTTTACAAAAAACTTCAAAAAGCTCGGTGCAAGTCTCAAGTACATGACTACATAAGCATTCCCTTAAGGGTTAATCTCAATTTATGCCTCGAAAGATCACTTAAATCTTAATTTATACATTTAAAGTTTAAAAATATAAATTTATACCCTAAAAGACATAAATTTGTAGCAATATGCACCTGAAGTTGACTGTCGTCCATTTTTTTGTTAAAAATGTTTGGACTAATTATAAATTTGCATCATCAAAGTTTAAATACTTCACATTTATGATCCAAAAAGAATTTCATCCATTAATACTCGTTAAATACCTCTCAATTTTATCATATCATAACATTTTCGTATCATGTCATTTTGTATCATGTCATATTATTTTTGTGTCGTGTTTGAGTCAATAAAAAATTATTTTTAACACAAAAAATATTTTCTTGTCGAGTCAATTGCATTGTGTCGTATATTTCACATTTACGATAATTCATATAATAATATTTTAAAAAAAATTAAAATACCTATTTTTTTTTGCCCATAATACTCATTAAATAACTATTTTTGTTTAAAGTTAGACTTCAACACGACACAATTGAGAACTATTTAACGAGTATTGAATGATGAAATTCTTTTTAGATCATAATATAAAATATTTAAACTATGAGATGCAATTTACAATTAGTCCAAACTTTTTTAACTGCAAAATAGATTGTAGTTAACTCCGGTGTACATTGATATAAATTTATGTTTTTCAGAATATAAATTAATATTTTTAAACTTTAAGAATACAAATTAAAATTTAAATCAGCTTTCGAGATGCACTTTAAAATTAGTCCTTTCTTTAAATGTTTTGATAAGGACAACATCAAGAAGAGAATCATAATCACAGCAGATGCACAAAGTTAGCTATCGTCGTTTCGAACCTTAAAAAGAAAAGAAAAAATATTCTAAAAAAAGACCTTTTCGGGTCCCCACGACATGGACAACAAAAATGCTAGCAAAGGCTACGACACTGTACCGAAAATTATAATTTTTTAGGCTTAAATTATTACTTTTCTAATGTGCAAGTTATAAATTTGAAAGACATGATCGATCATGAAAAATTAGGATCAATACCGAAAGTTCATAATGGATCATGGATGTCTATAATCGATCATGATTTTTTTTTTAACAATTATAATTTTTTTCTTCAAAGTTATAACTTTATCATAAAAAATAATAACATATGATAACGGTACCACAAAAAAAAAAATGGGTACCCTAGACTTTTCCAAATTTGTAAGAATCAACCACAACCACCAGAAAAAAGTATTGTTGTGCCTTGACTTCCTTTTGCAAAACTAATGGCTGCACCCAGCTCCTAAACCGATTTTGTAGAAACAAATATGCAAGTTTGCAAGGACAGGTTTTTCATGTAGAAAAATATTGGGCAATCCGAATACAATGTCTTCTATTTTGAAATAGATAGACATTTTGTGTTAAAAACAAGTTAACTCGTGATTGATTCGGATACGTCTCCAATAATTCGGTCGAGTCATTGTTTTGAGGCACCACAATACTATTTTTTGATGCCATAAGCTGACTTAAATATCGCTCAGTTCTCTATCTAACATTTTGTGTAGTTATCATCATGCGATAACGTTATTAATATATCTCAATGTCATCTTCATCGATGATTGATACTGTGATTATATGTTCATACACTTAACAGGATATATTACTTATTATTGGTGTAATTAGATAAATTAAGAAGCAAAGTACAAATTAGTAAACTTGATACGAAAACAATTCAGGTTGAGACACGAAAATCTTAGTAAACTTGATACGGAAACAATTCAGGTTGAGACACAAAAATCTTACTCTCTTTAAGGAGATTCGAGCCTTTTGCGGATGGCAAGCCCTAATCCGATGCAGCAAACCTTCTCATTTGATTTGTCCTCTTTAGGATACAACAACCTAATAGTTTCATCATATGACTCTAACCAACTCTACACAAGTGGTTTAGTCCAAAACTCCACCAATAAGAACACTTTTCTTTGGCCTCAACTCTTAAGTGTGCGTAGTATTGTTTAAGTGTTGAATGACTGTTCAAAAACTTTTAAATGCACATTTTAGAAGTCCTATTTATAAGTTCTTAAAATTTTCTAGAGTTCATGTATTCAAGTCATGCATGTACACACAAAGTACATGTATGCAACTATACATGTATATAGTAATTATCAATTCATGCATACAAGTCATATATGGAATAATGTATGTATATGTATATAATTTATACATTATGTAATAAAATGATGATTCGTGTATATGCATTACACATTTATCTCATAAATATAATTCATGCATAAGAGCAAGTATGATATATGTATCTATATTATATATTGTATATTAAGCTTCGTTTATATACATTATACATTAATATAATGAATTATATATAATATTAAAATGTACCAACATGTATCGTTGTAATTAAGTGCCCAACACTTACATAGATCATCAAGTATTCTAGGTGGGTTGCAACACAAAATTTTTCTGAACTCTTTTGAGAATTAAAGTTTTCACTCCTTTTAGCAAAAGCTGAATGGTTCGAAACTATCACATATTAGAATTTAGTTTTTTCTCTAAAAAACAATATATATTTTGCAAGAACTATACTTTGAGGATTGCCATTGAAGTGCTTAAACATTGCTTGTAGTCATGAGGTTTAAACCCACAAAGGTGTGGTAGTTGCCTACATGTCTTGTTCTGTTCAACCTGATTTAGTTCTTCTCTTATGCTGAATCCAGCCAGTGTTTGGGGGAGATTGAAATTGCTTTCAGGATTTAACTTATCATCTACACTCATCATAAACAATGGTCACAGAAGCTTGGCATGTCACTTGTCACTTGTTATTTGTCACATACGAAAAGTTTGATTGACATGCCGCCAGTTAGGCTTTTTATACCCGACAGAAATTTCGCCGAACCCAAATAATTGAGATAAAACTCATGTTTATTGAGGTGAATTGAATATATATACATATGCTTTATCGATATTAATTTGTTATTAAGGATAGGGATGAAGACATATTCTTTTCCTTTGGGTACCAACCACCAAGAATCATTGATTACATCAAAGTCTAGGGTATCCTCTATGGTGCCACCCCCCCCCCCCCCCCGCTCCTCCTCCAACCACACACAACCACCACCACCCACAAAAAAAAAAAAAAAAAAACCACACCCACCGAAGAGGGGATAAATTACTCAAGAATAATGTTTTGAAAGCTAAATCAATCAAGAGCACAATTGGGTCACAAGAACTATCAATCGTAGTTTTAAAATTTTATACCCCTACTTACTAAACTTAGAAAACTGGATTATGAAAAATAATACAAAGTCAACTTGAGATGTTATGGAAAAGTAGGAAATTATTTTGACAACAATATGGTCCAAATCATCTTCCATCATCTTCTTCTCTACGCTAGGTTGTCTGCACATTTTTGTATTCCCTTCCATCATGATATGTGAAAAAGACTTATGATTCATATTCAAACTCATAACCAAGATAAACCCATCTTAGTTTTCGAAGTGGATCACACAAATTAGTGCATGATACAATCATCCTATGAATAGCTTTTCCGTAAGTCCCTAATTTCTTTGAGGAATGACTTCTAACTTCTCTTCTTTTGGACGGGATAGAACGTATTTAGATCCTCTTAATTTCAATTTTTTGTTGATTTTGTCGATAAATTGATTAGGTTCTGTCGGGGTGAAGTGTTTTGGATTTCATTAACACAAAATCCAGCTTAATAAATTTAACATTGTATGATTAAAATTCATTCAAACTCTTTTAAGTTAAAAAAATTCAAATCAATGTACAAAACCTATTATAAAAATGGAAAGGAGCAATGTCGCACTTATTGACCCTATAAATTATAGGAACTATTAAAGTTTCGTTTGACTTTTTGAGAAGAGGAAGAGCTGGCCCTTGTCATTGCGAGTTATCTTTGGTTTGATAGCATTCTTCCTTGTGATACGAAGTGAGGTAGAGTGAATGGAAGTAAGGAACCTTGGCTCATTCATCAATGCTTATACCCTTAGATATATACATTATACGACTCTCAATCAAGAGACTCTAACATCAAATTCGGGTGTTAGACTAAAGTACCAAAAATCTATATTTTTATACAATACATCACTTTGTTCAAGTGTGACGCGTGTAAAATTTTTTTAAGTTTATTACTTAAATATACTTTCCTATTTTCCCTATCAAAGAATATAAAAATAAATTAACCTGAACTTTATGATTGAATTTTTATTTTTATTTTTGATATGATATTGAATAATTATTTTTTGATACCATAACATTCGTAGAAAAACATAATGCCAAAAAATAGATAGAGGAATTAGTTGGGACAGTCTTTTATAAATTACAAAAACTTATATGTTTCAAATATTAATTTTTCCAAATAAATAAAATTTTTATTTTTATTTTTTTTGGTTTCTAAATAAACTTTTATCAAAAAAAGAAGAAAATAATTGTTTTAGTAATAAAAAAAAAAAGAAATGAATAAATATCAGAAGTAGTTGAGGGCTCTCTGTATCGGCCGCGGTAGTACTAGTAGTCGTTGTTGGCCTGCTTCGTGTTAAAACCTCTCTCTCTCTCTCTCTCTCTCTCAGGTTAGCTCCGGTCTGTTCATCTCTTGTTGTGTCTTTTCTTGTGTGTTTGTTCAATTTATGAGGGTATTCACTTGAGCTTATTGAAATTCAGTTCATTCATTGTCAGGCATAACTTGGAATTATCTATCAAATACTTACTCATGGAAGCTCCAGAAGAAAAGTCAGTGGCTAAAGAGAGTGATGAAGGCTCTTCGAACAGAGACAACCACCACCCAGTTGATCATCTTCCTCCTCCTATACAAAAGGTACTTTGATTTTTGTTTCTATGTCCTCCATGTCGCTTTTTTTTTCTTACATTGGGTTTTTCTTGCTCCTGTCACCATATTTTCTGAAGGAACTCTGATTTTTGTTCTCACTTCTTTCATGTTTGTTTGTTAGTTTATAATTTTATTTTTTTTAAATGTTGGTCTCTATGCCTGCTCTCAATCAATTTTCTTATTTGTTCTTTTTACATTGATGTTTCCAAATTGCAGTATCCTCCATGAAAAGTCTGCCTTTGTAACCTAATCTGTATTGGGTGTCTCCGTTTTGGTTCTTGAATAGTCATGCTTCTGAAACTTAGTTAAAATTTAGTTGCTTAAACGGATCTAACATACACAGGTCCAAGAACCAAAAAAAGGAAAAAAAACAGATTCAAAACATATATGTTTGTATCATTTGATGTGCTTGAACGTATGAATATATGTATATATTTTCTAGATTTTGTATGAACTAATACATCAGACCACATGGTTTTGGCACTGCAATTAATCTAGAAACCCTTTTAGAAATATATTGTTTAGGGTTCCCAAAGCCGCAAGGCATACATTGTCAGTCAAATTCTGTATCATAGGAATCAATCTTATGGATATGGGCTTGGCAGCAGCGATCATGCTAACCTATAACATAGATTGATATTTTCAAAACTTGTTAGACATGATATGCCGGCGTGATATTGCCATATTATAGTGATACATGGTTCTTGAACTTCGGATATCGAGATCATTGCTGGTGCTAACAAGCTGAATGAAGTCTGTGTTTCTACCAATGGCCTTTTGTTCATTGGTATTCCTTGTCTTGTGAAGGCTTTGCCATCTTAAGGTCAAGGGTTCAAATCTCCATCCCCCTCCCCCTCCCAAAAAAAAACAAAAGTTTGTGTTTCTAATTTATGGCTAATGTTAATAGGTTGAAGTACCAAGTGAAATAATTGAAGAAACAAGAACCAGTCAACATGAGAGGCAGCAAAACCTATTTATGGAGATACCCACACGAACAGTTGAGGGCTTTCCAGAGGATTTTGTGAGAATAAACATGCCCCCAACACCAAGTGCAACTCCCAAAAGGGTGAATTTTTCCCCACTGCCCAGTCCTAGTTATGCAAAATTCAATGGGTTTTCAAGTCCCTCACCATCTAGAGGAAAATCATCAATGAAAAGCCTCCTCCCTAAATTAAGCTTCAAGTTCCGGCGTACAAATTCAGACATTGAGAAGGCTGCTATCCTAGCCCTAGGAGGAACGCACTCAGGAACGCGGGGGAAAAGTTTGATTCCAAGGACATTGTCTTTTACAAAGCTTCTCACACCCAAAACGAAGATCACGTCATCTTTGCCAGTTACCCCAATTGCACACTCAACTCCAGAGTCTATGCATGGAGGAAACACAACTGACGGACTCAATTCATCTGTAAGTGTCAACCTCATATTATCATAAGAGGTAACAAAAGTGGATGAGAATTCTGTGGTGCATGAAGACATAAATGGGAGGCTTAACTTCTGAAGGAAGTCTTGGAACTAAGGATCCTAAATTATGATGAGTTTGTTATCAAGGGTGTGTCTCTCTTTTGATTGTCCTCTGTTCAACCTCTAGCTCTGGCATGTCGTCTTAATTATGCTGAAACTCTTTCTTTTTTCTTTTTCTTTTTTTCTCAATTCAGCTTGCTCACTAACCTCTTGAATTTTTCCTTGGTATTACACAAACTATGAGAATGCAATATATGAATAGTCTCATGTCTTAATTATGGTGTGCCTTGTCATTACAAAGGGATTTTAGGGTAATACACTTATTAAGCTTGCTTTTATAAATTTCTTCTGTACTTGTTTTCTTAATGCTCTCTTTGATATCTGACTTGTGGTTGGGTCTTAAAGAATTCCTCACTTCACAGAAAGGTGGTACCCAACTTCCTATTCATCGTTCACGTTCTGTTCCCGTATTAAATAAAGATCAAAGCATAAGACAGATGGATTATCTAGGTAGTGTCTTTCGTGTTATTCCAACTACTCCTCAAGTGGCACAAGGAACTGTTGCGACATCAAACTCAGCTCCTACAGTTGATGCTGGTAAATTTATTATCCAAATAGTCTTTGGTTGTTTCTTCACTGTATTAAAAAGTTTCTGTCATTCTTAATTAACTTGAATTTTCTTTCTTGAATTAATTATAAGACTTTCATTAGTTCATTTGGTCAAGTCTTCAACGAAGACTGGTGTAAATAAAATTGGCTCCATGGAGCTGTGAATCTCCCAAGTGGCAAAAAGGCATCAATTATAACACATCATCCAGAGCCCAAAAAAGTTGAATAGGTGATTCACAACAAATGCTTCCTGCTTATGATGGATTTGCTGCTCCCAGTGACAACCAAATCTAGTTGTAATAGTGTAAGGACTATCACAGCTGTAAATGCTGGTGATGTCTTTGGGAAAATCACTACAACATGTTATGACGTTTTCCCAGCTCAAATATTATATAGCATTAATTGTAGCTACCAACTTTACACTCCATTTAGTGAGGCAAATGAATTATCTTATCACCTAAAATGCTGGAAATTGACCTGCTGTCTGCATTTTTAACTTCTGCTTTAACATGGACCCCCGATGTTGTTACTTGCGATGACCAACCTATGCCTTATGTTAGTATTGTGGTTCAGATGTAAAGGATAATGATGGTGAAGATATTCTGGAAGAAGAAGCAATCTGCAGAATCTGCTTTGGCGAACTTGGGGAGGGTGCTGATACCCTCAAGATGGAGTGTAGTTGCAAAGGCGAACTTGCCCTGGCTCACCAAGCATGTGCAGTAAAATGGTTTAGCATCAAAGGTAATAAGACCTGTGACGTGTGCCAGCAAGACGTTCGGAATCTACCTGTCACCCTTTTACGAATTCAAAATGCTCAGCCCCGTAGTTTGCAAGGAAGTGGAGTTCAGCAGGCTGAAATTGCTAGATACAGGCAAGTAGTAAGGTTTTCCGTTGCAAAACCTTGGAAAATGCACGTCTTCTATATCTCTTTAATTTTCATTTTATGATCTCTAGTTATGTTTATCACTGTATATTAATTGAGATTATAATATATACATATGATGATTGGAGGAGCTATCATGTGCAGTTTAAAAGATCATGATGCATGAAAGGACGTTTAAATCCAATAATTTGCATGTTCTCACCATCCTTTGATTTGTGCTGATTCTATTATAATTTATTGAGGTTAAAAGCTGTTAAGAGTGTCACTTCTGGCTGAAAGATTTGCCATTTTATCAGGGTTTGGCAGGATGTACCTGTTCTTGTTATTGTCAGCATGCTTGCCTATTTTTGTTTTCTGGAGCAACTTTTGGTAAGCTGAGAAACTTAGAAATGCAAGTCTTTCGAGCTACCAATGTTCCTAATGTTTCTCCATTTGTGCAGGTTGCAAAAATGGGATCTGGTGCAATTGCAATATCTCTGCCATTTTCCTGCATATTGGGTCTCCTTGCATCAATGACATCAACCACTATGGGTATCTAAAATTTAGATTTCTATTACAAGACACTTTTTCAAGCGTTAGTGTGGTCATCTTGGCTGTGATACCTATTTCTCTGCGATTTATGTTCAGTTAGGAGAAGATATGCTTGGATTTATGCAACAATTCAGTTTGGACTGGTGGTTCTCTTTGCGCATGGTTTTTATTCACTGGTAAGGGATGGTTTGCTCAAAATTATTGTTCTAGGACTTCTTCAGACGTGGGAAAAAGCAATCTTTTCCAGTCGGTCATTCTATTGGTTTTTAACATTATGGAAATTCATTGAACTTTCTGAACTATTTTTGTGCTCTCAATTGACTGCATTAAGTCAATTGCTCACAAGGAATAAAATATTTTGGGCACCACCCCTCAAGAAAAAAGGATCATAAATAATTTCTTGATGCCAGTAAGCAACCCTAGGTGTTTCTTCTTATGCAAATTATTTTTATGTTTGTGGGGGTTACAGCTTCACGTGCAGGCGGTTCTATCAGTTCTTCTTGCCACATTTGCTGGATTTGGAGGTGCAATGTGTGGGACGTCTATTATTCTTGAGTTTTTAAAGTGGAGGAGGTGGCATACTTCATCGAATCGGCAGCGTGATGCTCAGCAGGTGACACAGCCACAACAGTCTTCAGAAACTGCTCAGACACCTCAAACAGATCCTCAGCAGCATGAAACCGAATTGGAGGATTCAAGTATTTTGCATCGTAGCCTAGTTGAAATTACATTGTAATTTGTTTGCTTAATAAACGAGGAACAGAATAAGGGTGGTTTCCTGTTTGTATAGAATCTCAAAGTGTTTGAAGTATCGCAAGATACTGAGTTTATTTATGAGCTGAAGAAGGATGACTCCTGATGTTATAGAGTTTGTCCGGCAACTGTAAAGTTCTTTGTTGGGCTCTTTTAGTTAGCATATCGAGGCCATGCATGGTGGTTTCAGTACAACATGAAAATATGCTATTACTGAATCATCCGGTTACTGGAGGGGAGTCAAACTTAAAACTCTTTATATTTGGCTTTTCGTCCGATTTTGTACCGTAGGGATGATCACAACATATTTATCTCCCAGTGAATGAGTTTTTATGTTTTTCAAGCTGTGTGGCCTTTACTCAATGATATTTTCCTTGAGCACAGATATTGCATTCTGTTGCATTACCATCAACTTGCTGATCAATAATGCCAAAGAGAGATGAATTTCAATGTTCTTTGTGCTTACAAATTGCTCTCATATATTGCTTACAATACAGACAGGGATCTAAGGGAATAAGAACACGATATGATAAAAATTGAGCCGTTACAATTAAAATTTCATGATGGGAACAAGTTCAGCATCCAAGATGAATGGAAGCCTCAACAACCCAGTATTGCAATACCAAATTTCAAGAAACTGAGTTGGAATTTTAACTAGTTTGTGCAACAAAAGGCATGGTTTGACTTCCAGGCCCTGGCCTATAAGCTGAGTACAGATTTTGTCCACCAAGTATTCCACTAGTAGTCAGGCTTGCATCTATTGTTCATCTTCAAAGATGGACTTTCTTAAAAGACCATGTTAAACAACATGTAGCAAAGGCATGATAAACGAAGCAATGAATGGCAAAATTTGGGTAGCTCAGTATAAATTATATGTCACAACTCAAACTAAGCATTTCCATCAGACAAAAATGATCACAGAAAACAAACCTATGAACTAAAAAAAAATTCAAAAGAAACTGCTTCTGTTATTCTCAGCAGTCAAAAACAATATCCTACTGACAGCCCTATCATACTTACAAAGTGGGCAGGTACTCCTTTTCAATTTCATGGTGCTACAACGGCATTTTCATTCCGGACTATACAATGGGCATTTTGTGTTAATCTCACTGGACAGACAAACAATGTTCACACAGTGTCAGTTATGAGGAGGCCATCCAGCAGCAAGTGAAAATGTATCTCCATGAAAAAGTGCTAGGTTTTGCCTGCCATTTGACCATGATCAAGGTCATTGCTTGTAACCGGCAATGCCAACTTTTCCTGAAAATAAAGGCTTTTCCTTCAAACTTGTACTCAATAGAGAATCTGAGTTCCTGGATTGGTTTTCTGCAAAACCTGGTCTCATCCAGATTTTTATGTGCCCCTCTCTGCAGGCAGTAAGGACAGATTCCTGAGTAAAAATCAAACCAGATAGAGGTTCAGTGTGAACTCGATGAGAAACCAGTGGGGAGAGCTTCGGAACATCTCGTATGCTTGGAGCAGGTTGCAGAGTTCCAACTGGGCAAGCACTGTCCCAATGGGATGACTGACTACCAGTACCAAAAGTAGGGGACCCTCCAGGAGGGCGGCGCATTGGCACAACAATCTCATCCATTTCCAGGTCCCACAAAAGCAATTGTGTGTCCTGCATCAATAAAATCATTACTTTGTTCATGATAGAACATGAAGGCATTACTGCAGCCAAACTATGAAAAGTCTTACAGCCAAATTCTACGAGGAATCAATAATTGATACGAATCAGCTCTAGGCAAGCATACACAGATAGTGCAAAACGGGTTTGTAGAGATGTCATGCTTAGGCTATAAGGTTAGACTTCCATGTTGAATGTACGGCCCCTCATTTGCTTTAAGCAAACAAATATATCTTGTCCAAGCAAATCCAAGTTATACTAGCAATAAACAACCTTGAGCACCTGACCTGACAAACAACCGAGTAATTTGCTCTTATAGAGAAGGATTCCTGAACAGTGAACGAGCATTTTTTGTACCCGGATACACTGGGGATACGGATAGGATACGGCTGTGTAATATTTGTAATTTTTAAAACTTTAGGGGCTAAAAAGAAAAAGAAAAAAAAGGAAGAAGAAACATCGTTTAACTGGGCCATTCGTTCCAGCCCCAATGTCGAACTGCTCCAAGCAAAGAGAAAGAGGTGATCTGGCGAAGAGGAAGAGGCGATCTTCTTCAACAACATCCAACCTCTAGATCGGCTTCACCTTCAATGATTCAACGATATGCTTCATCCTTCAAGCCTTCAAAAGTCTCCAGAATCCAGATCTGCTTTGAAGCCTTCGATTTCAGGTTTTTTGTTTTTTTTGGGTTTTTGCTACTTTTGTGGTTTGATTTTGCTATTTGAGTTTAGAACTGTCTGATTTGGAAGTTTGATTGGGTTTGGTAACTTAGGGTTCTAAAAAGTTGGAAATTTTTTATGGTTTTGGTTGTTTGAGCAAATTTTTTGGGGTTTTTTTTTTTTGGTTTATTAAGCTTACTAATATCTAATTTTTTTTTTAGGATGTTTTTTGTTCCCAGTTACTCCCACCTCACTGTCACGCCAATTTCTGTCTTTGCTTGTATTTCTAATTCTAAATTTTTATTCTAAAATTGATGTAATAATATTAGAAGAACTGGTGGATATTTATTTTGAATCTTTGATCTATTTCAATTACAATCAAAAAATTAATGTTTGCTAGGTCTTATTAATTATTAATAATGTTGTTATTATATGTATAAAAATATATAATATTATTTTAATTGGTCGTATTATCGTCGTATCCGTATCCTATATTTTGGGATTTTTTCGTATCTATATCATTTTGTATGATACGAATACGACACCAGTGTCTGTATCTGTGCTTCCCAGCCCGTGAGTTTCAGTTTGACTGAAAAAACAGACATACATACTCCAAAGCTATGAAGCACGGATACTTCAAAAGGGTCAAAGTATCCGTATCGGGTACTTTTGGATACGGATACGCGTCGGATACGTACCGGATACGTCTGAGAAGTATCCTAAAATTAAAAAAAAAAAATTAGTTTTCGGATACGGCCGGATACGTTTTGGATACGCGTGGGATACGCCTAGGATACGGCGGGGTATTACTCGAATTTTAAAAAATTATAGGGACACAAGAGCAATATATTTAGGCCCTTATTTGCAAAAAAATATATATTATTAAACTAAAAGTCTAAAACTAAACCTGTACATTTTTCTTCCACAGCCCATCAAGCCCCCCACTCCCTTCAGTCGATACTCGACGACGATCGTCTCTCTCTCACTCACTCACACTGACGATCGACTGACTCTGATGGTTAGTTATTATTATATATCTTTGATAGAAGTGTGATTTACTTTATAAATCATAATTATTACATTAAATATAATAATAAAATTTTAAAAAATATATATTTTATGGACGTATCCTAACCGTACCCGTATCCTATTTTTTTTTGTTTTGCCGTATCCCCGTACCCGTATCGTATCGTATCCGTATCCGTATCTGTGCTTCATAGCTCCAAAGTATTCAATAGGAGAATGAGAGGCAATGTTTCTTTTTTATTTTGGCCATAATTCTCTTTTTTACAAAGCAAACTTACATAGGAAGATCAGTTTTGTCTCTCCCTAGATACCTTTGGCTCAGATATCCTATGGTATCAAAATGCCCTTTATATCAAAGCATGATGACAGATCCCATAAAACTCCCTATTTTCCCTAGTTAACTGTGACTTTTTCAAAAGAATTTACCATGCGTTCAACATAATTAACAATGCATTACTACCATTGTCTAGCTTTCCTGCTAAAAAAAAACATTTATTGGGAATGCACCATATCAAGAGCCACTAAATACATTCCCTAACACCTCAAATTCAACATAGATTATGTCACTCTTTAACACTGCATACATCAATCTATTCTACAATACCCAAATCATCTCTCTCTCAACCTATGCTAAATATGCTACTTAATAATGTTCTCGTTCTAAACCCTCCTATTTTAACCATAGCGCAAGTTAACCTCCCTTGAAGTTCAATAATCTCAATACAGCATTCTTGGCAAGCTTAACAATATAAACAACAAACTATAGCAGCATCTCCCAAAAACTTTCATTTACTTTGAGAGATATTCTAAACCAGGAGCACTCCTTTACTTGCAATTAGCACTGCCTTCCTCAGATCTCTTATTTTCAAGAAATGACGGATCCAATAACAAAAGTGGTCATACTTCTCCAAAGCTCAGATATAAATTTCCAATAATTCTCCGCTCTTGAATCTCACTTCACAAAAATTTGCCTAGCTCTGCCTAAAATCTTTTTAATTGTTAAGTATTGGATAGTATCTATTTGTCTTTTTAATCCTGCTTTAGTCTTTGTTTATTTTAAGCTTCAGTGACTATCAAGACAGCGACGCAAAGTAGTTTGATATCAATGCATTCACTTCCCGTGTATTCTCACTGCCATCCAGACCCATATACTTGTCTCAAGATCACAACATTATTTGGGTAGATGCATGAAAAACTTACCCAATGTCGCACTAATTACCTCCAGCATCCATTTGAATGTGGATTGATTGGAAGGAATTGTAGCTATCGCTAAAAACTGTAATACTCACAATACGAAATTATAGATATCAGCTGTGTATAACTTATAAGTTGCCATCCCTTTGGAACTCAATTGAAGCTACAACAAGCAACCAAGCGATCAACAATAGGCAAGATTTAAAAGGAAAACTACTTTCCAGAAAAAAATTGATTTAAAAGGAAAACCACATGGATACAGCATACATCATGGATGATGTTTAGGATTGATAATATTGAAATTAGTTTAAGATCTGAACCAGCAACATACCTGACCAACAGAACCAAATCTGTACACTATATTTTCTCCCGTGCTTTCTGAAGTTGGTGCTGACCAATATGAATCAAATGCCACTCCACTGACCTGCCACCCTCCAGTAAAATAGGAAATAGATTCATGGTTCTGGAACAAGAACTAAGAAGCTTACACCAGCATATTGTAGAAACTTACCCATGAATTGTGTCCCTCACCCCAGGCTACAACTTTTCGAACTTCCATACTCCAAACTTGAACTAGATCATCTTCACCTCCAGTCAAAATGTACTTCCCATCCATGCTGTCATATCATTTGTTGCAAGTTATACTTTTCAAAAGTGAATTGTTAATAACAATAAGCCAGAAAAAACATCATTGATCTATTAAAAAAACAAGGACTGCAGACTACAAATCTTTTATGTACAGAAAGGCAAACAAGCTTCTCACCTCCAAGCGCAACATAAAAGAGCACCATAATAGCTTTTTCCACCGCATATAAGTTGTTCATTTTTGTAGTCAAATACTCTTAAATAACCTACATTTAATAACTGATCTCAGCTCTCCAATTTGTGAAAGATACAAAGGAACAATAAACAGGACATCTCTAAGGTGAACAATACCATCCCTTCCACCAGTGGCAATATAGGCTCCATCAGAAGAAAAGCCAATAGTATTAATTGAACCTTGAGAAATATGCCATCTAGCAACTGGATTCTGCACAAAACAATAGGAAGTCAACTTTGACAAATGAGATGCACGGCACAGATATTAATTCTCAACACGCTCCCCAGAATCCACATTTTAGTTTCATTTCACCCCTCAATATTATTTTGTTAAGCTCGGCCAATCAGCCCAACGCAATATTAGAAACCTCACACTAGGGATGTTACAATGCTGATGCAAATCCACACTACAAAACTGAAAAGGACTCGTTCACTGAATGAATATCAAACAAATCACAGTCCCCTTCAAACTTTATTCCCTTTTTCTCTTCAACAACATACTTTAGCATTATCCAAAGCACATCCACACTTCCCATTGACTTCGGGATTCTTAGTTAATTCTCAACAAACATACCTAAGGTATGCACAGTCATGATGAACCAGTCAACCACTGAACCAGTATTGTGTGTGCATGTGCATGCGCGCACGCACGCGCGCGCGTGTGTGTGAGAGAGAGAGAGTTTGATAACTTAAGAATGATTAAATCATGTTGTACATTTTCAAAGATAGATTGACTAATAAGAGGGAGGAGGAAGGGTGGAGGGGGGCTGCAAAGCGATGAGTATCAAACAACGAAAAGCCTGCAATTGGTGACAACATATAGAATATTCACCAAAAAGACAAAAAGAAATATGACCTAAAGAACCTGTAAAATTTTAAGACTGAAAAATAAACCCCTTGTCCAAAAATCAATGCATAAATGAGACAACAACTGCACAGCAAAACACATGTAGCTAGTAAAAGAAGTTATGTCATTCTAATGAGACAATTCTTTGGAGCACAGAATCAAGAAATGATAACTATATAGTGATAATAAAAGTGCGCAAGATTAAAAACATTATATAGTGATATTGATTCCAAGAACTACCTTAAGAACTGGGCATCAAATAAGAAGAATTAAGATTTTCAATATGGGTTGCTCTAACAATGGATGGATAAAGTTATACTTGACAATTCGTGACAAATTTTTAACTCCATGCCTACATGTTTCATTTTGAGGGATTAGACTGGTACACCATTATTGGCTTATTCAAGATAGTACAAGACTGACATGTTGGTTCTAGAGATTGAAGCTCAGATTCAAGGATAAGGTATAAGCAACATAGTGAAGGAAATGCTCACATTACAGCTACGGAATTATGCGTTAAGACGAACATACGTTGAACTATTAGGCAGTAATTATTTGAATATCATATCTAGAAATAATCGAAGATCAAAGTGACGCATACTTTTCGAGACAGGAACACAACGGTTTTCTTCTGTCAAAATAGAAAAATAAATTATCGGATTTCTAGTAAACTTTGACATAATTACTTAGAACACTTCATGTTGAAAGTCCCTTTTCCTTGTTAGCCCACTCTCTTTTCAGGATATAGTGGGTAAGAAAAGGTCAACCAGATGCTACGTGTCAAAGCATAACTCATACTTCCAATTATTATAATCATTTTCTTCCTGAATTTGCTGTCTCCTGGACCCATTGTTCCAGCTTGCATCCAAAAAATTCTTATCCAAAATTTCTGAAACTAATTGAATTGAAGGAAAACAAAGCATCAATCCAGATACAAGGACACCGCCAAGACAACTTATAAACTAATGGAATTGTACAATACCTTACTGTAGCGTGCATGTGCAACAGAAAATTGAGTTTGATCCTTGATCACAGGGAACGAAGGATCGGCTGAACCATCTTTGCTCTAGAAATCAATAATAAAAATAACAAAACAATGTGATCACTTTCCACGGCCGAATGAATTATACAGGTTAGAGGCAGGCATTAAAAAGTTTTTCTACAACTATTAATGACTTACCTTTTCATATACGTACAAATTTCCATCAGCATGAGCAACAACGAAAGTCCCATCACCATTAGGCACCCATGCAATACTAGTACAACGACTGTTGAAAGCCAGATGATTATTTAATCACACAAGAAATCAAAGGTACATATATATATCTAAATGTATCTCACACTGAACATGGACCATGATTTATGCAAAAAAAAAAAAAGAAGTCAATGTCATATTTCAACATCACAATATCAGTTATTGACTTGGAGGACACTGAGTTGCATCAGTCACTTCGTTGAGAGACTTAGGCCAGTGTTGTGAAAAGCGAGACTAGGCGAGAAGCGAGGCGAAGCGAAGCGAGCCTTGGTCGCCTTGAACATCCCAGGCAAAGTGAGGTTAAGTAAAGCGAGTAAAAGGCGAGCTTAGACGACAAACCGAAGAAGCGAGCCAACTGAGAAAAGCGAACGCCTGACTACAGTTTTTTTATTTTCTCTTTCCCCCCCCCCTCCTACTTGTTCTTCTTCCTTAACATTAATCAAACCCTAACAGAAATGATGTTATATGTGTATATGTATAAAATAAATTGATTGATTCATCTAACAGTAACATATGACAATCTGTCTTATTATGCTTACATGATGTTGAATGCTCTGTTTTGTTGTGAATGTTCTTGTTAATTAATTTGTTATATGTTATATTTGATTAATCAATTTGTGAGTGTTTTGTTTAGTTGTGATATTAATCAATCACGGTGGAAGTCGAACCCACACTTTCTAACTTTACATTTTGATGACGTGATTATGTCAATCAATTATTTTTTAAATGCAATAATATTCCATATTTAATATCTTGTCTATTTAAAATATGTTGATATTTATTATTTTAGTTACATTTAAATATTTTGTAGTTGTAAAGGTAAAACTTGAATATTTATGAGTAATCAAAGTATCAAACTAAAATATTTGCTTATTTTTTATATTGTTCGCTTTGCTTCGATAAAACGTTCTCTTCGATTGTCGCTTCTCGTTTCTCGCCTAGGCCCTCAGGAGAATGGTCCACTTCGATTTGTTTTATACCTTAAATAACACTGATTTAGGCTATATTGCAGCATCACGAAAACGACTTGGTCAAGCCATCCGACATGTATCCAGTCGACCAGGAGGTCAGGTGAGACTTTTTGGCTTATATGAAATGTATACCAATCTCGGGACAGAAGGTGTCAGGTTAGATACAATTTAGCTACCTCATATCGGTATCGGTCTATACTTTTAACCATGGTCAGAGCATCAGCTATGAACTCTCGAAAATATGACATAGAATAAGAAGACTAGACCAGACTATTTAGATAGTAGCAATCCAAATTCCAAAAAATAAAAGGGAAGAGTGTAGATGAACAATCAATCGAGTTTGAAATTAATAAGTGTAAATGTCAACCAATGCCAATAAGACAGTAAAATTCTAAGATTGATAGTAAACTTCTAGTGCATCAAATAGCTAACGAAAGCTGCACATCCAGACTAGAATAATTGATGGCCATTTTACTTTTCTGGTAAAACTTACAAGGATACTCTGAAAATAAAAAATAAAACAAAATCAATTAAATAGATGTTTGAGGAGTTGTATCATATATAGGTGAAATCTTCCGAAAACATCATTTGATTCTTGTAACAATGTGATTTGGGATTAAAAAAAGATTCTTGTAATAATAAAAAACTTTGCATTCATTAAATATGTCACCACCTTGTTTGTTAATTGCAATAATAGCCTTTGCCACAGCAAAATCGAATATTAAAAATGAAAATTCACTTAGCTTTTCTATGCTAATTCACCGCTACAAGTACCGGAAAACTGGTCAACGGTCTTCAATAACAATGCACCAATAGAATCTATAACTAAAGAGGACATAAAATGAAAACCAAAAAGAATTGAGTTAAGGTCTTGCCTATTATTAACAGAACCGTCTTTGTTATAATGCTGTGCTCCAACAAGCTTCTTCCCAACATCTTGTAATTGTTGTCTTAGTGACACTGAATAAACTAAAAAAGGTACAAAAAATAACTCGCAAATATTGAAAACTGCTCATTGATATTTCTTATCAATGATGAAGCTCTTATCTTTCTTCAAAATAAAAGTAAATACACGTAAGAATTACCATCTCCAGAGTTCAAACCAATAAGCAAATCATGCCCATCCTTAGCATCTGGATCAAATGCATGGCACACAGGATTTGAATTACTGAAATGAATGGACTTGATAGGATCCTACATTGAAACGTAAACCTCTTAAAAGCCGCATCCAGATGCAATGCACCTATGATTGCAAATAAAAAAAGTTTGTACTTGTGCATATAAACACCAAATTACCTTATCTTGCGAATTCAAATCACATATCAAAACCGCATCTGCAGCATTGAATAGCAAGTATGTCCCTTTCCCATCAAAGTTTGAATTACCCATCATACTATTTGAACTTGAAGCTCCGAGTGATCCAACTCTATTACTCCCACTAACAGATTTACTCCCACCATTCCCTCCAGCAAAACTAAGCGTCCTACTTCCATTCCCACCACCTAAGAACCTTGCTGCCACTGATCTCACACCACTCGTAACACCCATACCTGAAGATGATGGCGGTGCAGCCTGGGATGGCTTATCCCTGAGATGAGCTAGGGTCACCTGACAATCAAATTTAACCAAAACCACTTCAAATTTGGTACAATTCGATTTGGAAAATATTTGTACGGACAAAAAAACTAAAATTTACTACGTCAAATCAAAGGAATAAATGAACGCTTCATTTTTACACAAAAAACGGAATAGGGAAATACAAATATTGACTGAGGAAATTTAGAATAAAGGGTATCACGAAGACACCAAAGAAATTAACTACCCAAAGACCACGAGGATCCCAATTACTCAAAACCTAGTCAAATTGTCTTTGATTGATGAGGTCATCTCAAAAGATTTAATTTTTTTCGAACAGAAACTAATTGAATAACCAACAAATTAACTACCCCCTACTAAAAAAAATCTAAATCAACCCAAAAACCAATAGGGTATGCCCAAAAAAACAGGATTTTGAATAATGGGTTGGTCACAAAAATGTACATCACGTAATGAGTATACAAGAAAAACCCAAGAATTCAAAGTGAGTGAGAGCACCTGAGTGACAGTCTTGCCATGGGCGTAATGAAGGAGACCAGGAGGGTGTGTCTTCTCGTACTGGAGCTTGTAACGGCCTTCCGGAGACTTGAAATAGGTCTTAAGACCAGGTGATTGCGTGTTGTTGGTCGATGTTGGCGACGAGGACATCATACTATTATTACTAGTCGTTGTATTCATCATTGTCACAAAATCAAACTGATAGCTCTGTAATCAAAAATAAATAAATACATAAATCTCAGTGATTAGAAGTACAATAAGATCATGACATTGCAATTGGGTCTTCTCTATGGCTCCTATTTCTGGGTTTATGTTTCTTCTTCTTCTTCTTCTTCTTCTTCAATCGGTGACAGTGAGTGGATCAAGGGTTTGGGTTAGTGTGGGTTTGTGAGTTACAGTAAAGATGAGAGAGAAGAAGGGGTGGTGGAATTTTTAGAGGAATTAAAATTGGTGTTGTGTGTTTGGACGGTTGGGCCAAGTCTTCCCCTCGTTACGGCGTTGAGATGAACTACACTTGAAAAAGAGTTGTGTTTACTTTGGTTTTTGGCCTTTAGAACCTCCAAAGAAAAGATACAGTGCAGTCCTGGTAGATTGTGCACAAACCTTTTCTTTTTTCTTTTTTCTTTTTTTTTTATTTTTTTCAAAACTAAATAATATAGATATTTTTCAAACCAATAAAGAGAAAGTAATTGTTTCAAAATCTTTATTGTTAATTACACAAATTATTTATATGAAACATAAGATCAAAAATCAATGTCTTAAAATTATGGATAAGGTGTATTGTACGACATAAGTATAACTCGTATTTCTGTCATCAATGAGTCAATCATTCAATAATGAGAAACTAAATTTGATACTTTTAATGAATAAATTTAATTGAATTAATGACACAAATACAATCAATCTTTTTTTTTTTTTGGAGGCGGGGGATGGAAAAAATAAAGAGAAAAGCGAATGGAATGAGATTGAAACTCACAACGATTTACAGATGAAAGTTAACCCTTATTGTTGAGCCACACACACACCTCATATACAAAATACAATTGAAAGAGAAATAAAATGGTTACGCATGAAACCATGTGTTTTAAAGTCCGTGACAAAAAACACATGTAAAGGACTCGTGGAGAACTACAGCCTCCTCAAGCAAATGGCTACAATGTTTGGCCAAATACGCAGAGCCGTAAATATGACCGAATCGACTGCCCAAACGGAATCATTCAATAAATAAAGATAGTTAGGCTATTTCGATAGATTAGAGAAAAATGTTGGAATAATAGGAACATTGCCTAAATTATAGGTAAGCGTTATCAGCAAATGACAAGAAATTTGGGAGAAATTCTAATTTCAATCGAAAAGTAATCCGACAAATAATTACGTGTACCACCTAATATAGCCAACAACCGAAATCTTTGCAAGATAATAATGTAAAATACCAGGTGATGTTTGAGTCTAAGGTACACACTTCTCAGAATCTTTACTGAATTAAATATCGGAGTATCTCCAACCAGTTCACCCTTGATCTCTGACAATTTGTTTGTTTTGTGGACGGACGAATATTGCAACATTTGTTCACTCTTTCTCGATTAAAATCGAAATCAGAAGGCAAGAGATTATTTTCTCTTACAATAATCAATCTTAACTCAAACACATTAATTTCTTGTGAAATTAAAATTATGCCTGCTTATCAAATACAACAAGTAGGTCATTGTGTGCCAACTCATTGGCATATAATAAAATAAATTTTAACTTATTTATTAATTGAAAATAATGAATGGGGCTACTTATTGGTATAATAAACTTCGTCACAAATGCCCACACCCACCCAAACCCCTCTGAGTATTAATTATTTTATTTCCCTTGCGTAATTGTGATTACTATTTGTATTACTATTTCTTTTGGATTTTCATTTCGTTTAGGACTCTCTATACCAATACACCATACCATGAAATTGTAATTAGAATTGGGAAAAAAACGCAATTAACATTGGAGCTGAGCTGTTTGTCACAAACAAGCCTATTGGCACTCATAATTTCCCTTATTCATCATTCTTTTATGACTTTAAGACACATCCTATCATATTCACATAATAATTTAGGACAAGCGACTGCATAAATAGTATAACGATCTTTTCTATTTGGATGTTGGAGGACAAATATTTAGACACGGCACTCCAATCTCACCTCTTATATCGTTACCCCATTTGGAGGAGCCTTCACCATACATCTTTTGTTTTTTTTCTTTTTTAAACAGTCAAAGGTATTCAGATCAACTTATACGTACTTCAACTAATTTTTTCTTTTAAAGATAGGTCATTCACGCCGAAAATAAGGTATTCGTGAGGAATTTATCTCTCATAGCTTTATCCCAATAGTTTATCAAGATTTGAATTCGACACAGTTTTATAGCTCATCCCAGTTACCCCTTGATCTTTTTCATTACCTTACAGCTTGTTTGGATAAATTTTTGAAAAGGGCTTGGGTTGACTTTTCAAACTCTTCCAAACCTAAATCCTCATTTACAAAGATGAGATTCAACATTGAATCTGATTCATACTCATATTTGGTATGCAATACATACACATGTAAGACTTATGGATATATCATAATTATTAATAACTATTTATTCTATAAATTACTATTTTACCATTAATCAATCCAATTAATATTTATATTAAGGGGTACAATTATTTTTACATCCTTAACCCCTTAACTCATCTGCTCAAACTCATCCATACCCTTCGCAACAACAAAATATCTCTAGAACATCTAAAAAAATATTTTGCTTCAATAACATATTCTAAATACTGTAACAACATGTATAAGTACTGTATAATATTTTCTCTCTCCTCTTTTCCTTCGTCCATTCTCTGTCTCCCCTTTTTTCTCTCACTACTTCCAAAAAAAATAATAAATAATATTTAAAGAAAGTAGTTAAAAATATAAAAAATTTATTGGAAAATGTGTTAAAAGAGTGAGTAACCAAAATAAAATATATTATTTTTTAAGTGACTAAACTAACTATTATAGACTTATTTTTTGTCAAAAAGCAGCACCAATGTGAGACAACAAACCAGTGTCCAGTGTATCATCGTCAACTATGGACCATGTACACTTCAAAAAAAAACTATGGACTATGTAAACATATATCTTCAACCTCCATTTCACAACTCAAATCAAACCAACATAACCAATTTCCTATTTATCTCTCTATTGCTATGGGTTCGTCAGCAAGATGATTGAAAGTTTTCATTTCATAAGAAGGATTGCAAGTAATACAATTAATTATAAGCCCAAGTTAAAACTCAATTGGGTCAAATTACGATAAAAAAAAAAAAAAGAGTTTAGTAATGCAATAACTTTATTTGATAGAGACTCAGTGTTGCTTGCTTTCTCTCGGCTACTAGTGGCTTATATAGTGGTCGACATTCCTACGTGCTCCTCCTTGCCCCTTGCTTAAGAGTCTTTTTTCTTTTTGGCCTATCTTGCTTAAGGATCCAAATCTCACATTTGGAAGTTGTTGGGAAGATTTGGTTACAAAGGTTACCAGTGTTCGGGTTTATGGATGGATTTAATCAACGAAAAATTCTAACTCTATTCGACATATCGTGACTGCTTAGTCATGGTTGATTTTGTCAGAAAAAAAAAAAGTAGATTTCGGGATTCATTGATTAGTACACCTTCGGTGCTGATAAGGTCGAGATCATGGTTGTTCGTCTCTAGAGATCAATCGGAACAATCTCCCTTTATTGTAATCTCAGCAAGTTATAACTTCACCCTAACTATTTCGATATGGGGAAAAAAACTGATTATCAAAAAATAACTCTTCCCTTATTTAGTCTTGCCCATGAAAATAAATCCAAAAGCAAATGCAAGCACACACAAACACGAAAGTATGCAGTGCTAATGATTTACAGGCAAGTGTCCTCGACCATTGAAAATTGACACAGCAAACAATCTAGAAACCAGCATTGACCACCAAACTTTACTTTCACTAATTTAACATAACTCAAATCCAACCACATTATTCAAAAGACATACCCCGTGCATGAGACTATTGCCGGATCTGGGAAAGGTTAAATCCAACCACATTATTCTGAAGTAAAATGTGAAGGAATGCTTTCCTTCAATCATTAAACCCACTTTATTTGAAATTTGGACAAAAAAAATTCAATTATGTAAACCAGAACCCATGGCCAAGCCCAGGAAACGATCCATGTAACAAAAATATACATTGAGCGTCAGTGATACAATGAAGCAATGGCTCATCTTACTTCTATCAATCAACTCATACGAACTTCAGAACATTAGGATCCCGCAGCGCAAAAATTTTTTGAATGACATATTCTATTCCTTCTAATAATGATATGAAACGGCTGACCACATTTTTGGCGCGTGTACCTGTCAGCAGTTAGTAACATTGGCGTTCTGCTAAAAATAACTTGCTTCGTGAAGCCTTCAGGCGAATATAACCTCATACTTCACTGAGGTCAAAACTGGAATCCACCAGGAAAACCCTCCTTCAAAGTGAAATGTGAATTGCTGTCCCCCTCCGCCAAAAGGATTAAATCCACCACCACCACCCATTCCCATATCCCTGTCTTCAATGTCTTCCCCTCTGTCATATCTTGCACGTTTGTCCTCGTCCCCAAGAACCTGTAAAGAGCACCAGAGGCATGAGATTGGCGGGCAACAAACTGGACATCTCTTTAGAAACCAACGTTATATGTACAAGTTTTAGTGGGATATTCTAAAAATAGAGGCCCATTTATTGCTTATACAGTTTGACAAGATGAATTCTTTTGAGAATGAGAAACCCAATTGTTACTTCTAGCTCCAAGACATCAAAAAATAAGCCACCGTGCGATCTCACTAGCAGATGGAAAGTCATGTGAGACAAACTAACATAAATTTTGCAGTATTACAATCCATAATTGGTTATAAAAAAGGTTAGTTAATATTTCATACATCTACAAGAGAATAACCATCTGCAAGGTGTTTTTTGAACAACAAACCTTCTGCAAGTTCAGTCTATGTGCTTTTCATATTTGACTTTAAGGGTAGAGAAGAAAACTCGTCAATGACTAATTATGAGAAAAAGCATATAACTAAAGCTAAAACTATTTGTCTTTGCCTATATCAGAATGTCAATTTTTCTAGAAGGTTTATGTTTGTGCTCAGTGACACAGTTTCCACCGTCTGTAAGTGGGAGCTAAGTGGGAGCTTATGCAGAAAAAACAGATTGAATCCACAATGTATTTTGAGCAATATTTTGAAACAATATGAAAAGCATGAAAGTGGGGAACGATATGTGAAAAATTCTGTAGCATAGATAGGTCGATGCTCAGATGTAACTGCACTAGAAAGGCAGAGTGGCTGATCAAATCTGGTGTAACTGACACTCGGAATTGGCAGAGGTTAGTGAGATGAGTAATGCTATAGGGACCTAATTCATTGCAACCATTAGATTAGTTAGGAACTCCAATGTTGGATGGAGCCCACTTTTAATCCAATGGTTATACTTAATTAGGTCCCTAAATAAAGTATAAATAACATTTTCCTAGCAAAACAAACAATGTTAATATAACAAGATGGGTTTTTAGGGTCACTCAGTCACATATTGGCATGATGTCGAAATGGGAGCCTATGTCATATTGTTGTGGTAATTCAACATATAAAACAGACATAGAACCCTGTCCACTGAATACCAGAAAATAAATCTACAGACTGATTCAAAACAAACCTCATATGCAGCTGCTATTTCACGGAATTTGGCTTCCGCTTCTTCTCTGTTATCAACATTCTTATCTGGGTGCCACTGCAAAGCAAGCTTCTTGTAAGCCCGTTTAATTTCGGATATAGGTGCAGACTTTGAAACTCCCAAAATCTTGTACCAGTCCTTCCGTTGGCTCAACTTTAAAGATTTCTCAGCCCTCATCAATGCTTCACGAATATTCATGTCCTGAACAATTTGCATATACCATTATTCTAGAAATCACCAACATCTAAAAAGAGAATCCAAAACCACAACTTTGGTGCAAAATAACAAAAAAAATAAAATCTGATCAGGTTCAAAGTATCAACAAAATTGACTGTCCTAGTCAACTGAACAATATCTAGAGTTGGATGGTCACATAATTAAGGCTGCAAATGAACAGAGCTGAGTTGAGCCGAGCGCTAGACTATTTGGGCCCTGCTCAGCTTATGTTCAATCTAAAACACAAGTCTAGGCTCATGTTCAAGATCAAGCTCAGCCATATACATATTAAATAGATCATAATGTAGTTCTACACAGACAAACATTTATATTGTACATAAAATACACTATAATATACTTTTATAAGTGAGCTCAATTTGTTCACAAACCTCATGTGCTGAACAAGACATTGTTGAAGCTCAGTTCGTTTAGTAAACGAGCTCTAAAAAACTGAGCTCAAGCTTAATTCGTTTCGTATATGAATGAACTTGAACAAGCTCCAATACGAGCAATCCCTAGTTGTTCTTCATTTGCAATCCTAGATATAATAACGGTATTGTTTGAAGAAATATACTGAAGCTGTTCAGTTTCAAAGATATAATGAGCAAAATTGCAACTAAGAGTGGCTAGTTGACATTAGCTCACAAACAGGGCTCTCATGGTAGTGGATTAATTTCACCAAGTATTGCTTACTTTTGTGTCTTCAGCATGCAAAATAGACATTCAAAATGCTTGAAGATGCCAAATATTACACTTGTATAACCTTTTACAGAACTTTTTATATTCTTGAACAGAAGCTTACCAAACCATGCTTGACAATTCAGGCTCAAATTGTTCAAACAACAAGCTTCTACCTTCAAATAAAGGTTTGGACTTGACTTTTTTCTTTGTTTCTTTGTTCATAAGTTTACAGCCCAAGTTCATGAGTGCAATAATTACCGCCATTTCAATTACAAAAAGCAGAGTGATACAATATGACTAAAGATACAATTAACGAAAAAAAGTCACTCGATCCCAATATGATTTTAGAAAATATTTAATCCCAATTGACTTAAGAACTGCACACGTAGTCTATATAAACCATTTAATAAAAGAAATCAATACCCAACTCAACTAAACAAAGCCTGATCATTACATTTTTAGGGTCGGCTACAAAAAATTATTCAAACATCAATCCGCAATAGTAAGAGAAGAATGCAGGGAACAAAGAGGTCAAGAAAACAAAGAGAGACGTTAAAATAGTACAAAAAGAGGACAAGAACAACGTGAACATTGACACAAATCCAAATCCCAGCCTAGATTCTGTATTGACTAATATATCCTTTTGGATGTGGGCAATTCCAAGAAATGGAGATGCGTACACTGAAATTCACTTGGTTACCGTGAAACACACTTAGTGTAATACTCTATTAACATAATGCATATTAATAATGTTAAGAGTATTAGAGTATTATTATGTAAATACTGGTTGTAATATACCACATAAAGGGTATACACGTCTTTTGTGTGAATATGAGTTAACTATAAATACAAGTGGTTTGTGAGAAGTAGGTTAAATTTTTTACCACACTCCGTTTTTCTAATATTGTATTCACCCTCTAAACTTAAGTCAGGTTATTGATCCAAAATCTTTGATTAACCTTTCTTTGATATTGAGAATTCTAAACCCATAATCTCAATATTTCTTTCTTCCCTTCTCCTCCTTCTTCGCCGGTCATAGTTCGTGCAACCCACAACCACGATATAGTGTCGTGTGTAATCTATGAAGTTCATGGTTGTGTGTATGATTGGATTTTGTAACTGTGAATTGTCATTGATGTTAGTATGTTAACGGGAATCACCTCTTTGGTGTTGTGGTGGTCACCGGAGGTGGTGTGAAGTGTTACACAGTCGGAGTGGTTTTGTTGAGTTTGTTGAGTGGCTTGGCTTCACCGTCTTCGTTGGGTTGCTCATTTAGTGGTTTCATTGGATCACTGGCGTTGCTGTCATTGTCATCGCTAGTGGTGAGGTGAGGTGAGGTGTGGTGTGGTGTGGGGGGGTGTTGGTGGTGGTCACCGCCGTGCTATAGTCACCGGAGATCAGCGAAGGGCCCTCTGTGTTGCTATCATAGCTTGGTGTGGCTAGCATTGTAGTGGCTTTGGTGTAAGGCGTCGTTGGAAGCTAGGATTTCTATTGAGACCCGTCATTCGACATGGTAAGCCTTTAACCATAGTATAGGATAAAACATTAGCCCAAGCCGGATTAGTGAAAACTCTCTCAAACCTCGCCCAAGCAAAGCCCCCACTCTTGGTTATTCGACCAGGTATGCTGCCCTCATAACCGCAGTCAATGATGTCACAATCATTAATTACTGCATTGAATTCTTCTAAAGATACAAGATTTGGAGAAGACAAAGTCGTGGGCCTTCGTCGAGTCAAATCAGCTATTCTTGGGTTACAGGCTTAAATAATTATCAAGGCCCAACAATCCAAATTTCTTGCCCAATGCTACCACCTACTCATTCGTTCTGTGCATACTCTCATTGTCCTTGATCATCGACTGAGGTGTCCGTATCGTCTTCCTTGCCATCTCCTGATCCTAGTCCCTCAGGTAATTTCAACGCTTTATCTATTGCTCTTTGCAAAGCTACTCGATCGTGTGTTACTACACATCGCATTACTCATTTTGTTTCTTGTGATACCTTGTTTCATGTCTTCTCTTGTTTGACCTCTCAACTGTCTACTATCTCTATTCCTAAGTACTTACAGAGTGCGTTGTTTAATCCAGGATAGAGGAAAGCTATGAAAGTGGATGTCTTACATCATTATAGGACTTGAGATCTTATTCTTTTACCTCTTGGTAAAGAGACTGTTGGTTGTCACTGAGTATACACTATTAAATTTAATCCAAATGGTTCTATGAAGCATCTCAAAACCCATCTTGTTATTATAAGCTTTACTCAAACCAATAATGTTGATTATAAGTAGACTTTTTCTCATATTGTCAAAATCTCCTCTGTTCGTATATTGATTTTTTTTGCTGCTAATCTTGATTGACCCTTATTTCAGTTAGATGTCCAAAATAACTTCTTACTTGATGACTTAGTTGAAGAGGTCTACATAGAGTAGCCACATGAGTTTACTACTAAGGAAGAGTCCTGTAAGAGTGTGTGTTGGTTAAAAAAATCTCTATATGGTTTGAAGGAGTCACTAACGACATGGTTTGGTAAATTTTCACATGCAAGTTTAGAGTTTGGTCTTTTTCGATATCAGACAGACCACTTTGTGTTTAATAGATAGACAGATGCCGAATTTATTCTATTGGTTGTTTATCTAGATGATATTGTAATCCCTGGCAATAATTCTGAGGGGATAGCCAAGTTAAAAACCTTCCTCCGATTTCACACTAAGGACCTAGAAAAACTCAGATACTTCTTGGATATTAAGGTTGCTAGATCTAAACAGTGCATTTGTTTATCCCAAAGGAAATATGTACTTGGCATATACTAGAAGAAGTAGGTTTGTTGGATGACAGACCAATTGATATACCTATGGATCTGAATTAGAAATTGTTAATGGATGATGGTGCATCGTTTGAAAATCCAGGTCGGTGTCGTACGTTGGTTGAAAAGCTCAATTATCTCACTATTACCCGACAGAATATTTTCTATGCAGTTAGTGTAATAAGTCAATTTATGAGATGCTCTATAATACCACATTTGGAGGCAGTCACTCATATTTTTCGATACGTCAAACGTGTTCTTGGTCCTGGATTATTATATCAAGCTAATAGACATCTTAGAATGAAAGATTTTTCAGATGCTGATTGGCTGGCTCTCCTTCTGATCGGAGATCAACCACTAGTTATTGTACTTTGTTTGGATATAATGTTGTCTCATGAAATAATAAGAAACAAACGGTGCTAACAAGATCCAGTGTTGAAACTGAAAATAGAACAATAGCACATACAACTAGTGAGTTGACATGACTGCTATACTTTCTTTAGGAAATTGGCTTTCTATTTCAACCTCTTTTATAGTTGTTCTGTGATAATTTGACAGCTATTCATATCGTTGTCAATCCTGTATTTCACGAGAGAACCAAACATATTGAGGTTGATTGTCACTTTATTCAAGACATGATAATAGTCGGAGATATTACAACTCCAATTGTGATATCTGAGGAGGATTAACTTGCAGATATGTTTACCAAACATTGAGTCATACGCATCTTACAACTATTTGTTCTAAACTTAGATTATATGATATATATAGTCCAGCTTGATGGGGGGTGTTAAGAATATGAGAGTATGCTTATGTAAATACTAGTTGTAATAAGTATAACACATAAAGTGTATACACGTCTTTTGTATGATTATGAGTTAACTATAAATACAAGTGGTTTTTGAGAGGTAGGTTAAGTTTATAACCTCTATCTGTTTCTCTAATATTGTATTCACCCTCTAAACTTAACAAATTGCTTAGAGGCAGCGGTTAGCTAAGGTGAGTTGATTGCCCAACAAGAGGCCAACTACAAAAAAAACTGGTGGAAGGTTACACTATATTGACTGGCCTAACATGCATTTCTGATTGTAACATCATGTTCCTGTTTTTTAGCACCAATTATCCCTTTCTATTCAACTTTATTAACGAAATTACCCAATGCTATGTATGTGTTTGGGGTCAAAAAATGGGAAGACCATCAAAGAAAAATTCACATGAGATGCCACGAAAGGGTAACTGATAACACAATATGAAGCTCCCTTTACATAACCAACCAAAAAATGTAACAAGTAGAATCTTGGACTCTTCAGAAAATTAATGAAACATTCCAAGCATGACTTGGTTTAAAATAAAGATCAATTTGGCCAACAAAAATGCATTGTTGCAGGCTGTTGCACAATTGGCGTGGAAGCTTAAAATATAATTTCAAATAATATATGAAAACCAATATGCAAGACAAACCTGAGGTGACCTTTCAGCTGCTGATTTTAGATCTGCCACAGCTCCCTCCCAATCTTCTGTCAAAAGTTTAGCTTCACCCCTCTGGAAAAGAAATGGAGTTAAAACACTTAACATCGCCATATATCCGGTCTCAATCTTACTACACAACTTAGGTATGAAATTCACTCACGCTTGAACATTTCTACACATATTATAAAGGTCATGGAGAAGCATACGGCAAAATGAAAGTACAGAAACCTGAACTAGATACATTTCTGCACATATTACACTGCTTATAGAGAAACATGCAGAAAAACGAAAGTAAAGAAACCTGAACTAAAGCTTCAATGAGCTCCCCGTCAAGCTCAAGTGCTTCTGTGCAACTCGTCACAGCATCTTTCCCCCTACCAAGCTTAACCAAAACCTTACACAAACCGAGATGCAGGTGTACATTGTGTGCGGAATGATTAGGGTCCAATGCAAGGGCACCTCTATAGTCCTCAACTGCAAGACGAAGCTTACCCTTACTTACATTGTCTTCCGCCTGCATAAGAAAGATCAAATTTGGGCGCAGGATCAAAGTTACACAAGGTCACATAAATATAGCAAAAAGTAATGGTGTCATAAAGCTCTTGAAAGTTCTTCGGAATTACACTTTTTGACTTCTTGAGTAAATTTTTCAATCCGAAATATGCCTTCTTCAATTCACTATGCTCAGGGTCTAGACGAAGACCTTTTTGGTAATGCCTGAGGAAAACATATCATACCGTTTGTGTCAATAATATGTTCATTATTGAAATACAACTACATCCAATCACAAGATTTCATCATTGTTTTATCTATTTTAAAAAAATTTGGTGCTTTGGTTTGGAGTTGGGGATGGTTAGATAAAAAATGTGATTCTGAGCAAACCTTAAAGCAACATCATGATCAGCTAAGTAATAGTAGGCACGACCACGTAGAAGCAATGCCTCTAAATTATTCTCATCCTCTTTGAGAATATACCCCGCATCAGCGATCACACCAGAATAATCTTTAGCTGCTAATATTAATTTCACCTTAAGGAGTTTGGCCTGCAACAAACACAGAAACAGTGCATCGTATGAGAAACCTATGAGTTGCCCAAGTATAATAGCCAACTCAAGAAACACGAAATGGAAATAATGTGTATTCCTGGTCATGAAAAAGATGATTATCCTGAAGATAGAGTTGATACCTTGGAGCATGCCGGAGAAAAAACAAGTACGACCTTATCAATATACTCCAGTGGTTTTGTTAAGTCGCCTGAATCAAAGAGATTAATAGCTGAATCCAAAGCACTCTGAGCTTGCAATAACTGAGAAAGTTCCTTCTCTGCAGCTGAATTTCTAGGTTTCATCTCCAGAAACTTTTTGTAGCTTTTCTCCGCTTCCTCATATCTACATTAGCAAAAAATTGCCTGAATTATATATATTTTTTTTCAATCAGAGAGAGAGAGAGAGAGAGAATTATTAACACTTTTCCAACATACAGCGAACTAAACGTTCTATGGGAGCTTGATATTTCTGTTGAAATACTCAGTTAACCACAAAACCACGTACTACATACACAACAGTGTCACTGTGTGGGAGGAAGCACTGAAATCAACCTCAAAAAAGCACAATTAACCAAGGAGAAGACATAGATAGCAGGATTATTGAGAGGGAGGAAGCACCAAAATCAACAGCGAAATTCATACATACACATACACTTTGACTAAATACAAGCAATTGAAGAACATTCAAACGTGATGCACATGATTAGTGCAAGAATCCCATCATATGGCCATCCTTGCTGGAAGAGTATGTAGAAAGTGGAAAATGCACTTGCATATAAGCTCCTGAAGAATGTGTAGAGAGTGGAAAGGAGAATCCAGGTAAACTCATGAGGAAGCATGGAGAAAGTGCACTTCAAAAAGCAATAACGACTTTCTACTCAGAGCCTGATAACTAAAGGATTAATTATGAGGGAGCCCCCATACTCCCCCCCCCCCTTTTTCAAAGTTCTAAACTACAACAGTTAATATGCCCACACCAAAAAATCTCGATGTGTGATTAATACTATTTCATTTTGAAACACTTATGAAACACTAACTCACTGACTTCAAATAACTAAGCATTCTCATAACCTAACCATGCTAACATATGGCAGAACACTGAAATACTAAATTCCAGGAAAACCAAAACAACTATTGCTTTCCACAAAGAATACAATGAAATTTTGTAGAAAACAGCAATAAAATTTAAAAATAAAACCTGCACAACTGACGAAGAACAGATGCTCGATGCCAATATGCTTCTGAGAGTGCTGGATCAGCCTCTATAGCAGAATTTAGATCATCAAGTGCCTCACTATAATGTTTCACCTTAATACTTTGTGAAACTCTCTCAAACAATGCAGCAGCACCACCAGCCTTGCTATCTGCACATCCAAGATACAGAAAAATGTAACATATTATACACACCTATGGAACTTCTATGTATAGAAAAAACACAAGAGATAACATGCATATCGACTTATTACAGCCCAAACTTCAAATACATTCACGGCACTAATACTTCAGAAACAACAAAGAGCAAAAGGATACAGAAAACCTTGATTATCTACCTTAGTTAACATGTTTCTGCACACTGTTTGGTTCCCAAACAACATAAAAGATAGAACAAATAGCTTAAAATTCTTCAAACAGCATTTTACCCACAGGGAGCCAAACATCAAAGTGAAAATCATATCACCTTGAATTGGTTCATTACCAGTTTATATGGAAAATCTTTCAATTTACCCACAAATTACAAAATAAAAATAATTGATTTTGTAAAACCCTAGGGTTACTTTTCAAAAACATATAACCAGATATAATTTATGAGAAACATGGACAACCAGGCGTGGTGGGGGTGGAGGCTGGGGTGGAACCACAAGCCTGCCCCCACTAATTTTTTTTTTCAACATAAATTTTTAATAGGTTTTGCCCCCACAAAAAGTTCTCATACATTTTAATCTACTTAATCATTTCTTACATTTGGATTAATTTTTTCACTCTCGATAAAGTGAATCTAAATAAGGTTTAGTTGGTTAAATCTCTCAAATCTAAATAAGGTTTAGTTGGTTAAATCTCTCAACAAGTGATCAAGAAATCATATTGTAGCTCTTCATTCTCCCTCCCAATATCTTGTCCCCTCTCTAGCTGTTGTTAATTTTGATGTATCGAATAGTAAGATCATGCCATATTTTAATAACTCTGAAAAATTAGTCTGGAACAATTGTAAAGGTAAGGTGGTTGAATTATGACATATGGTTCAAGAATTTAAGTCGCATAAATATCCTCTCTCGTGTAGGGTAAGGCTACATATATCTGACCTTACAAAAACGAGAGTCCATGCACTAGATTACCCCTAATATCTTCTCCAAACGTTACAGAAATGAGAGTCCATGCACTAGGTGACCTTTTTTTATTTGTTTTCAAAATTTTAATCTTAATATTATTAAAAGAGCAATGCTATTGGATCTAGTTTAGAAATCTAAATTGAGAATCTAATATATTGCCATCATTGAAATAACAGTGGATCTCCGCATTGAACGCAATCTATTTGCTAATTCAATGATAGCAATGAATTAGACCTCTACATAGGTCTCAAATTAAGTACATGTAGTATTACTGATGTTAAAATTTGCCCGCATTATGCCCAATTTTTTGGCTCTGTCGCTGTGTGGGGGTGTGCCCTCGCACAAAAGGGGTGGTTCGATCATGATAGTTTGAAAATTCCAAAAACAAAACAAAAAAAGAAAAATCACTACATCTTATGGAGACAAACCTAGTTAAACAGAATCCAAAGTGCACTTACGGTACAGCCTGCAAATGTAAAGAGAAAAGCAATAAATGCTTTCAACTGCTATAAACTCAAAACACCCACATGACAGAACACCGATAAATCACAAAAAATATCATTCAAAAGGTCAAAGCAAAAAAGTGTACTAAAGTAATTTACAGCTAAAAAATACCTAACCAACCTGCCTGACTACAATTTATCTTCCTAGATCAAACCCATAATACGCAGAAATAGAGAACATAAGCCTGTCAAAGTTTTCAAAGAGATTTAATGCACGAAATAACCAAAAAGTCCTAGAGAACCGCTGCATCTTAATACAACTCCCATGAAGATCTATCTTTCCATGTCAATGCTGAGTTTATTTATTTTCTACTTCTTGGCTTGATGGCCTTGAATACAAGGGCAGCTGATTTGTGAGAATAAGCTACTCTTACATACAATATATACCCCTCCCACAACCCATTTACACATTGGCGTCATTTGGTTACTGTATTGTAAAAAAATGGATTATATTAGATAATTCAAGCTAATCCTATATAAACGGATACAAGATTAAATATCTAACAAAAATACTACCCACAGTAATCCAGTGTTTGCTAAGACACTGGACACTTAGGCACTGGATTAAGAGTGGGATACAAAAAAAAATCACTATAGTCTAATTATTCATATTTTTGCTTATCTGGTGGGCACAATAATAAATTTAAAATCTAATTCGCTTCAAATGGAGATAGTATTATAATCAACTCTATAGTATGGATGGGGCATATTATTTGTATACTTATTTGAAATAATCCAATATATAATAGGGAGTGTTTTTGAAAACTAAATGTAGTAAATTAGAGAATTTTAATCTGTTATAAGTCCCAGACCAAAAAAAAAAATCTGTTATGAGTCTATAATGTATGAAGCAAAACTGTTAAATAGAGGCCACAAAAAAATGCAAATTCATAGAAATTTTAAGCTCGAAATTGGAAAAAATCCAATTCAAAGAAAAACCAACCGAATAAGATCATCACAAGTATATATATATATATATATATATACCCCCCCCCCCCTACTCTCTCTCTCTCTCTTTCTCACACGCACACACAAAAACTACTAATTACAAGTGAAATCAATTCGATGAAGGAAAACGACAGATCGAAGCACGCATTACCTTGGGCGGAGACCAGTGGTTGGAGAAGGACGAGTTGGCAAGCCAGAACCAAATTGAGTATGAGAATTGAGAAAATACAGTCCTTCCAAGCTACCGAATCCATGGCCGATGCGAAAACCAAAAGCTTCATAATCTCTCTCTGAAACGGTCATATATCAATTAAAATTCAAAAACACAAACACACACCCACACACTCGTGTATACAATAGATTCTGGGTGATTTGAAGGACAATCAATGCAGAGAGATACGTCGGAGAAATCTATGTGTTTTTGAGTTTGCTTTTAAGGATTAAGAGTTCTAACATTAAACGGTTCATAGAAACAGGGAAAGTATTGAGTTGAATGTAATAAGGATTCGCAGGTCATTCCACGTCACAGAAGCCTATCGTAGAGCTCCACGTGTCATCTGGGACACAGGGTTTATTGTTGGCACTTCCAATGGAAAAATGCCACATGGAATATATTTTAAAGTCTTTATTTGAACTGTTGTTTCTTTAATTTTTTTTGTAAATCAAGAAAATAACAATACAAGATTTACGGTAAAATTTTTACTTACATCTAAAAAACCATATTTATAGGCACTAATTAATAATTTTAATCCTGACTTAACTAGGAAACGTAATTCTAATGATACATCAATTCTTATGCTTTATTTGGTAGGAAGAATGAAAAGTAAAAAAAATGAAAAGTATAAGGGATACACTTTGTATTCTCAAGAAAGGAAAGTAGGAATAATACATTTTTTTTTTTTGTATCTGGTAAGATGGATGGAAAATAGAAATGATTAAATTTTTTTTTTTTGTGCTAGCTAAGATTAGCAGTGACAATCGAGTCGTATCGTGTCAGGTTCATGTTGAGTTATTACGAGTTTGTGTCGAACATCAGTCAAAACTAACTCAACTCATTTAACTAATTGTATTGTATTGAGTTAACCTGTTTACCCCTTGCTAAGATGGAAAAAATATTTTTTAAAATTTAATATATATAAATACATATTTTATCATATATGAAATTAATGTATACATAATATATGTATATATCAAAAAATATATTGACAAATAATATATATCTCAATATAAATAATTAACTTTTCATCAACTTTCCTTCCAATTTGAAATGATTGATTTTGGTGAGTTAGAAAGAAAGTTAATTCATTCACTTTTCTATCATTCCTATTTTTCTTCCTTATCAAACATGATATTTTATTTATCATTTTAATTTTTCTTCTTTTCATCTTTCTATTTTTCAATTATATTAAACGGAGAATTAGTAAATATTAAAAGTCATTCTATATTTTGACCAACTCCCAACAAACACCTTGGCCCAAGTCTACACATGGGAGAAAGAGAGGGAGATAGAGAGAAAGGGAAAGGTATGATGGATAGGGAATGTGTTATATGTTTAGTTTAATTGTTTTTATTTTTTAATTTGAAGAGTGACGTCATGATCTCCCATTTTTCTTTTTCGGTAGGGGTGTTTATTCTATTCTACGGGTAGAAAATATAATTTTTCGTTCTTTTACCTGATACTTTGTGAAATAATTTTTTCTTGACCTACCCTACCCGATTAAGTTGGTATTCCTATCCAACTTCTAGCCAAATTAATCAGATAGGAAGTCGGGTAGGAAATCGGGTGAACACTTTTGTAATTATTAATTTTTAAATCATTTTAATAATTCAATTAAATAACATGCACCAATTTAGCAACACAATAAATTAATAACACTAAAATCTAAAATAATTACAATAAAATACAAGAAAGCGTAATTATCAATCCATCATAATTGTTGCACAAATATAATAACAATTGTTTTAGATTTAAATCATATGGTTAGTGAATTAGGATTTTTAGTTTATATATATATATATATATATATATATATATAGTCATAACACGTGCCAGAAAGCACGATAAAATATAAAATTCGAGTGTCCAAAAAATCGATCCCACTATATTAAATTTTTTCAAAATATATTAACTACAAATTAATTAAATATTAAATGATTAAACAGATCATATAAATGAGTGGTGTAATATTTTTAATGATGAAATATATAAATGATTAAATATGTGATTGAAATGAGTGATGTGATTTGACGTTTGAGTTTGACAAAAGGATGATGGGTGAGGTAAGTGATTAATGATAGTTTTGAGGGAAAAAAATGACTGTGATAAAATTCAAACACATTTCTGTTTTATTATATAGATATATTAGTAATTGTCTGTGCCTGAAGGTACGGTGTTACTCGCAAATTTATAATTCAAATATCTGAAAAATTATGCTACAAAAATTATGTTATAACCACTGAAACATAATAATTCAAATATCTGAAAAAATATATTAGTTGACAAGATTTAATGTTATGTTTTTGATTCAAAATCTACGATTTTTACATTCATAATCAACTTTATCTAAATAATATCAAAATTCATAACTAATAAAATGAAAATTAAAACAATACTCCCACAAATAAATTAAGTCTGCAGATATTATCAAATGACCAAATTTAACTATCAGAAATTTAACCGACTTTCAAAAGATACGACCTGAAAAAAAAAATTACAGTTAGGTGTTTATTTATTCTCTAAAAACATACATTTTTTCTTTTATCCACATTCAAATAATAAAACATAGAGAAACAATGTTTACCTAAAAAATATTGTTTCATCTATGGAGGTCTTGTTCATAGTAGGTTCAGTTGAGCCTCCACGTCTTCTAACGCTCGTGAACAGAGTATGTCATCTTCGATATCTGCCAATGTCTTCTCCAATTTTATCATATCTATGAAGTCATTCTCAAACTTCTTATTGATTTTGTCAATTGGCCACGTAGATGGAAGCGTGTTAACAACATCATATAACATAATTGGATTATTCAACATAAAACCTTCTTGTTGCAGTTTATAAAATAATTGTTCTTTTCTTTTTTATATGATCTAGAACATTCAATCTCTGGACCCATTTTTTCTTGCTCAAATTGTATCCATAATGGATGGATATCGCGTTCCGCTTTCGCCAATAATTGTACAAACCGTACTACATTGATTGGTTTGTCGTCTAAAAATATTTTTTCCGTTGCAGAATTTCAAGTTGTGGGAAGGATCTCTATTATTTTATGCATAATATAATTATCACTTATATTTTTCCTGGCCATTTGTAACATACGACCTAATTCAACCTTTTTCATCCCAAACTTCGAGATTGGGGTTCCATCTTCAAATGATTCATTTTCAAATTTTTCTTGTATGCTTAATAGAGCTACACGCGTACTACGCCGTACAAATATTGGAGGTCGTTCCATTATATCTGTACATAATATAAAAGATACAAATTAAAATTGTAATAATCACATTAGCAATGAAGTAATAAACATTACAACAAACAAAATAATATTTTGTCACCCATGTGATTTAATAAAAATAATAACACACCAACATAAAAAATTGGAATAATGATTAGGAATGCGAAATTACAATAAAATCAAGGCACCAACAAAATATATCAAACCATATATGAAATTCATAGAATAATTATTCAAATCACCATCATATCATAATACTGTCACTGCAGACATAATAGTAGTAATTACAATCATGCAAGTAATTAAGTATCAAGTTTATATTAAAAATTCTAGAATCAAACATATGATTTATCTTCACGGAGATATAGTTAATAGATTAGCCTTCCAGTTGGTCTTTAAACTTTCTCTTCATCACTTTCCTGAATATTCTTATGTCAATATATATGCGAAACTGCAAGTTTGGAGAACGCACAACAACCTAGTTTTACAGAAAGAAAGAAAACCAAACTTTAGTGATATATATTAGTTATAAAAGAATAAATCTCGTTGCAACAGTATAAGAATCAGATTACCTTATTATGATATCCCCATCGGTGAAGTTGTGTTGTATTTATTCTTTTCATCACTTTAACCAATTCACACCAATCCTACAAATATGAATTATAATGTAAAGTTAACATGATTATTTTAATTCAATATGTATTCAATGGGAGCAATTTGTAAATAAATTGTACCATTTTTTTGCTATTGAATAGGAAGTTCTATAATAGAACTTCAGGGTAAATGATGTTTGATGTGCAATTCGACTCATTTTAAGGAAGAAGAACACATATACGATCAGAAAATGTGCATCTGGATAATGCCACATATAGATGTCCATGGCTAAACACCGGTGTGTGCAGATCAACCCCAACGAATTTTACAGACTGTCCTTGAGATTTATTGATTGTCATAGCATATGTTAATCGGATAGAAAATTGACGTCTCGTCATCTGAAAAGGCAATTCTGAAGATGTTGGTGACAAAGATATTTTTGGAATGAAGACCAAATTGCCAGATTTATCACCATTTAAAATTTGAGCTTCAATCACACGCGTGGCACATCTGACAACCATCAATCGCGTGCCATTACAAAGCCCTTCCTTCGGCACTATATTTCTCAGCAACATTATTGGGCTACCCACCTTCAAATCTAATTTAAACGGCGGTAACCCAACAGGGTTTAGAGAGTTTAAATACTCATTAGGATATCGATTAGTGATCGATCGATCAAGTTCATCACCCTCTGCCATTTTGTCAGTTGCTAAATACGTAATTATCTGTCCCGGTGAAATATTTATTGTTGCGGCATTTATAGCATTCACATCGTCATTCCTTGCAGAAAGAATTGTGCGCTCGATTAGGAAGTCCGGGGTAACTGAACCAACCATATCCAAATGTGGATAAATTCTAAATATTAATTCTCGAAGAGTATGACACTTTTGTATTGTTGATGGAAGTTGTACAGTTTCTTGTGGGTTTGTTCCTACCTAAAAATTAGAAGTGAAATTAGAGAAGATAAACTGACAATAATTGCAAAAAATAATATTTTATATACTGAATGATCAATGGAATATTACCTCCATCAAGAATTCTGTAAATTCAACATTTTTCAAAATTTGTGTTAGTTAAGCGCATGTTTAACCCCAAAGTCAAAACTTGTACATCCTTCCACAATACAGATCGCCTCAATGACGCACCTATAATTTGTTCGCGGACTCCTTTCGGTATAATTGTCAAGATTTGTCGAAAGTCTCCACCTAGAACAACAGTAATACCCCCGAATGGCTTTTGGTTATCACAAACATCTTGCAGTGTACGATTTACTGCCTCAACACAATACCTATGTTGCATAGGTACTTCATCCCATATTATTAGTTTAGTCGATCTAAATAATTATGCATGCATCGATTGTTTGGTAAACCCACAAATTGAATTTTCAAGCACATCCAAGGGAATGCAAAATGTTGAATGTGCTGTGCGGCCCCCCATTAATAATAAAGATGCAATACCGAAAGAAGCCACAGTAACGACGATATATCCAGAGCTGCACAATTTTTTAGCAACTGTATTATACACAAACGTTTTTCCCGTGCCGGCGCCCCCACTCAAGAAAAAAGTAGTTCCTTTATTTTCAATTACTGATGAAGTAATTGCAGTATAAGCAGCATGTTGTGCATCATTGAGGCGATCGACATCATTTTGTGCATCCAACTGTTCGGCTTCATGATGGAGTTGTTGATGTTCAAACAATAGTCTGTTACCAACTATTGGATTCCAATTCCCAATTGGTTGTGGCATGGGTAGAAAGTCAACTAAACTTTTGCCCGACTCATGGAGCAACTGGTCTAATAAATATATACCATAATCTTCAATTTGATCCTGAGAAGGATTAGAAATGCCAAACATTGTACGAATCTTGTGCTCTAGGTTATCACATATATGCATTGAAAATTGATTCCATAAATTAAGTGGATCCAACGGAGAGCATTCCGTGAAAATAATACTAAATAGTCTCCTCAACTGATGTCCGATTTTCATAGATGAAGCTTCTTGCATACATTGTACCCATTCTCCATCATCTTCCAGAAGTTCCCTTGCAATGCATGCTGATTTGAAAGTGTTGTACATAACATCATTTACCGTTCGTAAGTTATCAAGTGATGTTGGTCCTTTTACAACAGTTAGTAACAAACGCAGATAAAATCGCTCACCTGAATTGGGGCTAGCAAAGTACATTCTACCAATTACGTACCCCTTTTGTCTAGGTGTCCATTTATGTGTTTTCTTATTCCAAACAAATTTTTGTGAAAACTCCTGGTAGGTCAATGCCCGTGCAAAATTCATTTGAAGTACAACATGTAAAAAAACCAGTCAAGGTTGTGTCTTGTTATGCACCTCTAGAAATGATTTCACCTATTGGTTCGACCGTATTAAAAATAACACGATGCATCCTAGGTAAATGCAGTTCTAAACGTACAACAGTTGGAATCTTTTCATGCAAAGGATTACTAAATAATCGCCAAGCAGCTTCGGGCGGTGCAATATACCTTGCATCAAGATATTGTTGGATCTCATTTCTTTCCTCCCAGCACCATCGTGGTACGATCATGACCCTTGTAAATGTATTTGTGAATGTACTTCACAAATCTTATTCCCACACAAACTTCCACATTGATATGGCAGTTGAACATTTTGAAAGATACGGATTGTGTGGCACAACATCCCTATTATCAACTTGTTGCCCCCCTCACTGTATACACGCGACCATTATTACGACGACGATAGATAGGATATCCATATTCATCCATACTTGTTGATTCTACAAATGTTCGAGGAAACCTCTTAGTGCACACGCCATTTTCCATACATGACGCTCACGGATTGCGAGCACCACATGGTTCATGTACCATACAACTTTTGATTGTATCAAAAAGAATAGGATTATCGTCAGGATCAGGAAATTCAGCACATACCACATTGTCTACTTGAGCACATGATTGAATTTTATCAGGGCCATGAAGAAACAGAAGTGCATGCATATATGGTAGGCCCCGTTTTTGGAATTCGATTGTAAAAACATGTGCTACCTTTTTTTCCAAACAATTGTGTTGTTTCTATCTCCTTCATCAAAATTTTCTCTTTAAATCAAAAACTCTCGCAACTAAATCAGGACGGTCATAAACTGATTAATGTTGTAACAAAGTTGAAGAAATCTCAGGCCAGTTAGGATTTGCAGTCATGGTGAGAAATATATCAGGGTGTTGATTGTACCTTGTAATAGCCATTGAATCTTGAAATATTTCAAACATATGTCTTGCGCTACCAGTGAAGGAAGATGGCAAAATCATTCGCTGACCAATTTGTTCAGGACCCAACTGACCCAACTCATCATCACAAACATCAGTAAGGCCTTTGTATAGTTCTACACGAAGTTTTGATTGATTAAGCTTATAGTATGCTAACCGATTTTGTTCTGTAGCAGCCCAAGCATCCACTAAATACTCCTGGAATAGTTTCCCCCCCCCCTTCAAAATTGTTGAATATTCAGTTGGATGTTAAAACAAACGATAACTATGATATTGCAACTAAGTAAGTAGATTAGTTGAGGGTCTACCAAGTGAACTGTCCCACTGTCTCAACTTAGGTTCCCATCCAAGTTCACCGCGGGGGAACAATAGCACATAATGCAAGGGTAAATATGCGGGGTGACACTCATTAATCTGCATCAACTCATTATTTTCTTTCAAATGTAAAACAATATATCTCATTCCACTTGATTCAGTGCCATCTCCGGGTAATATTACTGCAAGCTCGTCCGTGGTAGGGAGATTATATCTTCGTCGATCTAATGCTGGGTGATAATGAAGATAAGCTGGTAAATTTTGACCTACCAAATCTAATTGACTTAAAATCTCATAGGCTTGCTGGAATTTATCTGGAAATGGATTTTATGCAACAAACAGTCTTGAATGATTTTTAAAACGTCCCTTTGCAACTGAGGATTTCTACGACTACAAACATCTAAGGATGCAATAGGATCATAAATGTATAGTTGACTATATACTGGCTCCTGATTTGGTTGTGGTATGAGTGATCCTATTCTATGGCGTAATTCTCCATGTATAGTGAATGATGTAGGACCATTTCCTGTCACTAATCTTGGATCTAGTGTAGCACCAAGACTTGTAAACGCATTAATTGCATTATACTCTGGTGTATGTTGTTGAAATGATTTGAATTTGTCATTATTGCCATCATACAATGCTTTAAGTTCTGCCGAGGGTGTAATAAGTGGAGGTAGTTGAATCTTTCCTTGCAAGCAACATGTTCCAAATAGAGGACGTCCTGAATGGGAATTTGATAATTGTTCAGCCATCCAATGTAATGCTTGACAATGAGTACATGGTACATTCATACTCCAGAGTGAATGACGACCTTCTAATAAATGTGTTCGAGGAGTGATTCCAACACTACATACATGATATTTAAAAAGATAAGTTAAAATTTTTAAAAAATGTAATGGTGATTTCCAAATATTCTAGTTTATAACAAACACTTGTAAGGTTGGTCAACTTTTGTTGTGGTGTCTTCGTTCAAATTGGGCATTGCTTGTAACATGGAAATTACGTGAGATGACCCAATGTCATTTGTTGCCACAGTTTGTTCTACAACAAGTTCAGAGATTTCTATAGGACATCTAGGGTGTGGTTCCAAATGCGTCGTGACACCTTCCTCAACATTTTGTGGAGGCATTCCTCGAAGCATTGTGTTCACAGATGATGACTCTAGAAATTCTATTGGAACAATTTGTTCTATTACATGCACAGTCGGTTCTTTTAATTGACATCTCTCTCGTTCTCGACGTGCACGTTGTGCCAATTGATGTGTTGATAAAACATTGTAGTTGATTTCCTAAAGAATAAATTTGAAATTATATAGCGGATAAGGATATAAGAACTGTAGTACAAAAGTCTGCAGTTGAACAATAATGGAATACATCATAAATATTTAAAAAAAAAAACATATTCAAGCAAACATACCACTTGTGGATCTATATTCTCTTTTCCTTTTCCTTTTGTAGAGCTAGATGTTGCCACTGCATTTGACTTTCATTTTTCCTTTTAAAAAATAAAATGTATAAATTAAGAATTATTACAGTAGAAAAGAGTTCAGCTAAGCGAAGGCAGTTAAGATCACGTTCATCACGGATTACAACGCCTACGTTTTTTTGACGAAGTAACTGGACCTAGAAATCAAAGAAGGATAATGCTAAATCGAGTGATAAGAAGTAAGAATTTAACACCTAAAAGAATTAAGAAAATAAATGATAAGAAGAATAGCTTACTGTGCGTGCTAGGTCAGTATCCATCTGTAAAAATGGTTGAAAAAACTATAATGAGTATGAGATTACTTATAGGAGAGGATTAGAAAGAAAGTTATACATATATAACTTACATGACCAAAAATAGTGATGTTGTAGGGTGATTCCGAATGTGTTGAGGTTCCTTCACCAAAATTGGACCCATTGAGATTATTTGCAGGCATCCCTCGGAGCATTGTTGTCATAGACGCTGACACTGGGATATTTGTTGGCACTGTTTGTTTTTCTATAAGCGGAGGAAGTTTCCCAGTCATAGGCGTCGATTGATTGCGAGGTCTCTTCACTGATGATTGTTGCATTTGAGCTTGATGGCGACGACTCGGTGTTAAGGAAGGAAAAAATCTAGGTTGACTAGATGGACAATCTGATCTTTTCCGTTCCCGACGTGCATGTTGCGCCAATTGATATTTGGTTAAAAAATTATTATTGATTGCCTAAAAATTAAATAAGAAACATATATTATTGTGAATAATAAGTAACTTTTTTAAAAATTAATTAAGTCTTGAATGGGCAAATGACCAATCATATCACTTGGTCATCTGTATTTTCTTTTCCGTCAATAGAACAATTTGTTTTTTCTTTTCCTTTATAGCTAGCATTCACCATCGTGTTTGACTTTTTTTTTATCTAAGCAAACAATTTGAATTAGTAATAAACATATATTTAACATTATGTGTGAATATTACAAACACATGAATGTTGGAGCTTTGTAAAAGGAAAAAAAATAATGCAATCCAAAATGGAAAAAAATAATGCAAATCCAAGTTTTTGTGTAAAGAGACAAGCATTATTTATGAATTGGTTCAACGAATTGTTGGAGCACAACCATTTATGATTTGTTGTTTCATGTTATTCACTAAATATTGAATTTATATGATTCATATTCATAATAATATTTTTAGTTTTATATCATTCTTCATGTTGTTCACTAAATATGAATTTAAACTTGTATATTTTAAATGTTAAGCATATTTTATTTAATATATCTTGATATCTGAGTTGCCTAATAACTTGAATTTAATCATGTATATTTTACATGATAAGCATATTTTATTTATTATATAGATTTTTTTGCAAAATATGCTTTTTTTATTGATTATGAAAAAAATAAAATTGACTATTAAATTTGTATGATTCGAGTTTGTAGTAGTGCTTTTAATTTTATATCATTCTTCTCGATTATTTATATTCTTAGTATATTTTCTTAAATTAAACGTTATTTAGTATTGAATTATTTAGTAAAGATTGTTGTTTCATGTTGTTCACTAAATATTAAATTTTTATGATTCGTGTTTATAATATTACTTATAATTTTGTATCATTTCTCTTGCATGTAATTTTGTATGATTTTTCTCGGGTATGTAGATTTGGATTATTTAATAAATATTGTTGTTTTGTGTTATTCACTAAATATCAAATTTTTATGATGTTTAGTTTATCGTGTCTTCAAACATTGGTCATATTGTTAATATTAAGACTTGACAATGTTAATTGAGTTCTCTTCAATATTATATTTTGTTCACTAGCAAGGTGAATTTTGAATTTTATTTTGAAATTTAATTATCTATGAAATTGAATTTATATGATTCGTGTTTGTAGTATTGCTTGCATGAAAATAAATCAAATAACAAATAATCCTTATAGTATAGGATTCATTGGGCATAAATTAATAAAATATATTGGAAAACAATATAACCAATGTCAAAATAAAATCTTGAGCATACATTAATGAACAATTAACAAATGAAAAAAAATTAAGCAAATAATGCCAAATTCAAAACAAAACTCACCTTACACCTTGAACAAAATAAAATATTGAAAAAAAATTTATGAACAATGCTAATTCTTAATATTAAACCATATCACCAATGTCAAAAAATTAAATCTTATATTAAAATTCAAAACAAAACGCACCTTGCACTTGAACAGAATAAACAACTTAGCATCACCAAATTACCCCAATGCAATGAATTTTTAGCGGCAAGAATCCAATTCGTCGAACTCTTGAACCCAAATTACAAAAAAAATTTCACCAAAAACCAATGTTGTTATAAACAAAAGGAAACATTAGAATTTAATGTAGATATTGGAATAAATCAGATAATTTTGGTGAGAACAGGGAAACATGCTTGCAATAAAAATAAAACACGATCAGCTAGAAAAGAAAATTAAAAATTTAAGCAAATAATTTCTTGCAAACTAAAAACAGAACACGGTTAGGGAAACATGCTTGCAACCCAAATGAATCTTAATGTCTATGGCCACAATTGACTACAACACCCAAAAAAAATTTAGTATCGTGTCACTTATTATTGTTTAGAATATAATATATTATTTTTTGGTGTAATTTACTAACTTTTAAGGTGCAATTATTTTTTGGGTTTACTTAACATTTTTTTAGTTAAATTTATTACTTTTTGAATAAAATTTAGGATAAATTTCATCCCCACCCCCTTATAGATAAGCCTAACTTTCATCAACACCCCCACTGATTTTAAAATTTCTCTTCACTATCTTATAGTTTTTATGTTTATTTTAATTAAACAATTAAACCCCTTGTTGTGAGGAACTGTCACGGACAACTAAAACAGTGCTAATGCCATCTTATTTTCTTTCAAAAATATCAGTTTTACCCATTTCTTCTTTGCACCATTTCACCCTCACATCTCCCTCTATTTACACGCATTGTTGCACCACCATAATACTGTAGACTCCATGTCCCCCTCCCTACTGAATCGTCAACAAATATCCTCTAACACCATCACTATGCACTACTACAATTCATCAAATAAAAAACAATGGATTTTTACCCAATATTTTGTTGATTACCACTACGCACAACCACTGAAAATTCACTGCATTGGGGTAAAGGCACGAAGGCAAACAAACAAGCAAGCACCAAATGTTTTGTCCAGAAAAATAAAAAATCCAAATAGGAAAACAGTCATCATCATAAAAACAAAATTGTGTCTGTGTTTGAGAGAAGAATCCAATCACAAATGTTGAATTATAAAATGAATTAATTATTGTTAAGAAGTAGATGACACCCAAGATTTGGTGCTGGACCATATAAAAAGGAAGCCATTGGTATTTAAAGAAAGCTACTGGAATTCAAGGAAGCCATTGGAATTTAACAAATGCTTGACAACTCATCTATATGCTAGGCTATATATAGAAAAATAGAAAAAAAAATAAGATACAAACAGGTAACTCATCGAACAGTTGGTGTGCAGGGGAACAAAACAGGATGAAGCAAAAAAAAATCAAAACAGAAAAAAATCAGAACATGACATACCTGAGAGAAGGAAGTAGCAACAACTGAGGGGAGAGACCCAAGCAGGCAGGGAGGGAGAGCCTGCCAAGCAGAATAGGCAGGGAGATAGAGAGCCATGGCTGAAAGTTTTTTATTATGATTTTGGCAAGCCATTAGGACATAAATTGGGTGGGATTTTTTAGAGATATGCATCAAGTTTGGAAAGAGTGAATTACGTGGGAGTTATTTTGGGCAATGAATTTTTTTGGGGAGTTAGGTGCGTAATTTTGGGAGTTCAAAATATGTGTGTTTTGTGATGCAGAGTGGGTCTGTGAGTGAAAGGGGTAGAAAGAGCAAGAGTGTATGTTTTTTTTTTGTGTGTGTGCGTGTAATGGGTGAGAGAGGGCAATGGTTTTATAGAGGATGGAGGGAGAGATAGGAGATTTAGGGAATCACAGGCCTTCTCATATGGAAAGGAGATTGCAGAGATCACAATGAGGGACAATAGAGAGTGGCGTAATATTAGGGACAGAATTGGGATGAACAATTAATTATTAGAAGTTAATTTTGAAAATTAAAAATTTTGAGCGTCAATTAGGCTTCGAGAGTTATTCTGGTACGTCGGATCGAAACAATCTGAGATGTCAATAGTTCGAGACAGTTTAAGATAGCGCAGTCCGTTGGATGATGTCATTTTTGGTCTCGAAACGATCTAAGCCACTCTTTGTCTCCAAAATTCAAATTCGTTCTACTTGATTATATAAATGGTTTTTACCCAATATTTTGTTGATTACCACTGCGCACAGCCACTGAAAATTCACTGCATTAGGGTAAAGACACGAAGGCAAACAAACAGGCAGATACCAAATGTTTTGTCCAGAAAAATAAAAAATCTAAATAGAAAAACAATCATCATCATAAAAAAAAAAAAATTTGTCCGTGTTTGAGAGAAGAATCCAATCACAAATGTTGAATTATAAAATTAATTAATTATTGTTAAGAAGTAGATGACACCCAAGATTTGGTGCTGGACTATATGAAAAAGAAGTCACTGGAATTTAAAGAAAGCTACTGGAATTCAAGGAAGCCACTGGAATTTAACAAATGCTTGGCAACTCATCTATATGCTGGGCTATATATAAAAAAAAAGAAAAAAAAAATAAGATACAAACAGGCAACTCATTGAACAATTGGTGTGCAGGGGAACAAAACAGGAGGAAGCAAAAAAAAATCAGAACATGACATACCTGAGAGAAAGAAGTAGCAACGACTGAGGGGAGAGACCCAAACAGGCAGGGAGGGAGAGCCTGCCAAGTAGAATAGGCAGGGAGATAGAGAACAGCGGCTGAAAGTTTTTGATTATGATTTTGGCAAGCCATTGGGGCATAAATTAGGTGGGATTTTTCAGAGATATGCATCAAGTTTGGAAAGAGTGAATTGTGTGGGAGTTATTTTGGGCAATGAATTTTTTTGGGGAGTCAAGTGCGTAATTTTGGGAGTTCAAAATATGTGTGCTTTGTGATGCAGAGTGGGTCTGTGAGTGAAAGGGGTAGAAAGAGCAAGACTGTATGTTTTTTTTTTTGTGTGTGCGCGTGTAATGGACGAGAGGGGTCAATGGTTTTATAGAGGATGGAGGGAGAGATAAGAGATTTGGGGAATCACAAGCATTCTCATATAAAAGGAGATTGTAGAGATCACAATGAGGGACAATAGAGAGTGACATAATATTAGGGACATAATTGAGATGAGCAAATTAATTATTAGAAGTTAATTTTGAAAATTAAAAATTTTGAGCGTCAATAAGGCTTCGAGAGTTATTCTGGTACGTCGGATCGAAATAATCTCAGACGTCAATAGTTCGAGACAGTTTAAGATAGTGCAGTCCGTTGGATGATGTCTTTTTTGATCTCGAAACGATCTAAGTCGCTTTTTGTCTCCAAAATTCAAATTCGTTCTACTTTATTAAATAGATATTAGCTATGAATGGATGTTATTATTTTATTTTATATATATATTATAATTATGAATGGATGTTATTATTTTATTTATTTATATATATATATATATATATATATATATATATATGAGAATAGGGTAGGATAGGAATATGAAAATTAATGACTACTTTGTATTCCTACCTAATTTTTTCCATTAGCCATTCAATAGAATTGAATAAAATAAAAAATTATAGCTAATTAAAAATTTGAACACCCCCGAAACGGGGGGGGGGTTGGGTTTTTTTGAATACGAACATCAAAATATGTTCAAATAAAGTAAGGGTGGTTTGAAGGTCAATTGTTTGAATCATTACTTTATTGGGCGGCAGTACCAAGGCCTATCTAGGTGGCCCACTATAAAAACAACCAATTGGAGGAGGGCCAAAAGAAGCCCAAACTCTTCAGACAAATTCATTTGGGTCTCTAGCCCAACCCACACTATGATATCCAAAAAGATATTTGGGTTCTTTGAAAGTTGGTACACTTTATTAGACTTATTTGACAAAAAGTATATAAAACAAAATATGATCTAAAAAGACATAAATGTCCATTTTTGGGTCATTTAATTCAAAATCTCTTATCTTTAATACACCTTGATTCATGTGTGTTTGTTAATACATATAAATACGTATTTAATACACCTTGATTCATGTATATTTGTTAATACATGTACATACATACATACATATATATATATATATATATATATATATATATATATATATATATATATATATATATTGTTGTTAAATCTCTTATTTAAATTTTAAATTATTTTTAATACAAATTATTTCATGCGTATTTTTTTTTTTGAAAAGTGATTTTGTTCAAATTATATTTAATGCACATTGATTCAAACATTTTTTTTTGAAAATAATTTTATTTTTAAATTAATTTAATAGCTGAATATGTATATAGTATAATAATAACAGTGTAACAAATACACTGTAACAAAGACAGTGCAACAAATACACTGTAACAAAAATAGTGTTAAGTAGTCTTGTGTATATGATAACAAATTCAAAATGGAGATGGACTATTTTGAATGAAATTATATGAAACTATATATTTGACAAAATGTAATAGTACAATATTTTGTGTAAATATCTTGTTACACTATTATTGTTATATTGTTACATTTTTAGTATTACACTCTTATACTTTTTAATGTTACACTGTTATACTTTTATTGTTATACTATTACACTATTCAGATATTAAATTAATTTGAAAATAAAACTATTTTCTAAAAAAAAAAATACATGAATCAAGGTGCATTATAATTATATATATATATATATATGTTTGAATTTTAAAATTTGTATTCATGTATATATGTATTAAAGTTCTCTCATAAAACTATGAGATGTTTAATACACCATTTTTCAAAGAAAAGTGGTGCATTAAATATACATGGATTAATGGAAGACAAAAATGTCACAATAAAAATAGATAAATTCAAATTATATACTCAGATACAAATAAATATTAAATTAAGTACTTAATAACCCTACATTTTTTAGTGTATATTTTTTGCCAAATATATCTAATTTGGTGTACCCATTTACAATTTACCCAAGATATTTTAGAAGTCAGTACAAAAATGGGATTTTTGGAAGTTGGTACACCTAATTAGACTTATTTGGTAAAAATTACATATTAAAAAATATTTTGAAAAAAGGTACACTAGTTAAATATAACGACATAAATGCCCATTTTAAGGAAAGTGGTGCATTAAATATATCCTAATTTTATGGGAGAACTTTAATATTTAATGCACATTGATTTATGTGTATTTGTTAATATATATATATATATACACACAAAAATATATATATATATATATACATATAAACAAGTATATACAAATATATATATATATGTATATATATATATATATATATATTTATATGTATATAAATATAATATACATATATATATTTATATTTATACTTGTGTGTACATATATATATATATATATATATACATATATACAAGTATTTATATTCGTGTAAAGTGTAATATTGAAAGTGGAAAGTGTATCATTAAAAGTATAAAGTATAAAATACTATCTTATATCTCACCTTATTTAGTGGAAAGTGTAAAATGTTACATGTTAACATTGAAAGTGTAACACTTTCACACTTTCTCAATTAATTAGCATTTTTAGTGTAAGATGAAACATGTATATTCTGTTTGTGTAACACTTTAGGTAATATCTTCCCTTATCTTGTGTAAATAGCTTGTTATATTGCTATTGTTACACTGTTATTGTTACTTTCAATATTACCCTATAACACTTTATACTTTTCATTAAGAAATGTGAGACATAAGATAATACTTTACACTTTACACTTTCAAAAATATTACACCTTACACGTATAAATATATATATATATATATATATATTAATAAATACACATAAATTAAGATGTATTAAATACTAAAGTTCTCCCATAAAACTATGAGATATTTAATGCACCACTTTTCAAAGAACATACACATGGATCAATGGAGGACAAAAATGCCACAAAAAAATTAGGTAAATTCAAAGAGTAATGCTAGATGGACTTAAGAAGTAGACTTAAAAACTAGACTTGATAATCTCAACCATTAATTTCAGTGTGGGTCATAGCATTTATTGGAACCCATTACCTATTCAATGATTGAGATTATCAAATCTAATTTTTAAGTCTATTTTTTAAGTCCATATAGCATTACTCAAATTCAAATTATGTACTTAGATACAAATAAGTATCAAAATTAAGGACTTAATAACCCTACATTTTTTAGTATGTATTTTTTGTCAAATAAGTCTAATTTGGTATACCCCTTTACAATTTACCCTACAAAAATTTAGACTCATTTAAATTAAATTAATTAAGGAAACTTATTTGGCCCTAAGTGCATTTTTTTAAAAAAAAAACTAAAAATTCATTTGTTAATCCATTACTCTCTCACTCTTTCTTCTCTATTTTCTTTCTCTCTTTCTTTTCATATTGATAATTTATTTTTTTTAAATATGTAAAAATTTGATTTAATTTTTTCATCTCTCTTCCCCTATTTTTTTTCTCTCTCTCACTCTCTCTCCCCATATTTCCTTATTTTCTCTCTCCTCATGTCAACGTTAATAACAACACAATTACATTAATTAATTATACAAATTAATTATAATTACCTTATAATACACCAAATAATTACATTAAATAATTATACAAAATTACAGCACCAACTCAATTTGTCATTCAGTTATTTACATAAATCAAAGAGTTACATCATTTAGTATCACAGCATAATTATATCAATTATATACACAAAATTAGGTTTATCATTACACAAAAGACTTTACCATTATACTAAATTTGGTAATATAATTTTTGTAACGATGTCGTGATATTAAATGGTGCAACTAGTTAGTTATGTAAACAACTGAATGAGAATATCATTTTGTGTAATTATTTGGTGTAACTATTTAGTTTATTAGAATTTATGAGTAATTGTTTTATATATTATAAGACAATTGTAACTGATTGGTGTAACAAATTAGTGAAATTTTGCTGTTATAATGTTAATATAAATAGAAAGAGATAAATGGTTAGAGAAAATAAGGGGAAGACGGAGAGGGAGAAAATAAGAGAGAGATGAAAAAATAAATTACATCTTTACATATTTGAAAAAAAAATAAATTATCAATGATAGAGAGAGAGGGAGAGAAAATAGGGGAAATATATGAAAGTAATGAAGAGAGAGAGATAGAGAGAAAATAGGGGAGAGATAATCATAGAGTCTAATAAAATCTTTACATATTTGATTAGATATATAACTGTTAATCAAGAATACATAATTTAAGAAAAGGTATTTAAATAAAAAATATTTGATTTCATTTGAATTTTGTACCTAAACACAAATATATTTTATTAAAATTGAACTTAATAGAGTAAATAACCTATCCATACATTTTTTTTCAAATAAATCTAAAAAATTATACTCACAACCAAAAAATCTTATCCAAAATAGCATTTTTAGCCCAACCTAGCCCACTAACCCATTTCTTCAACAAATATATCATCCTTTAGATGAGAGAATCCCATTAACTTTTTCAGTGAAACCCACTCATCTCACGCTCATTCAAGAGATAATATATATTTAAGTTTTAATTTTGAATTTCATTTGGATTATGTACCATTTTCCTTTAAAAAAAACATTTCCAAATCAAACACTACCTTAAAATCTAACAGCAAGATCATGACCATTAGACCAATCGCTAACCTCAACCTTTAATTTCTTTATGTGTTTAAATGGCCCCCTGCTAAGTACCATTCAAATAATTAACCAAAACCATGAAAATCCAAATCAAAAGTTCCACAGCCCTTATTCATTCATAATAGAAGTTCACAATTAAACCATTTAATAATTAACTGAAAATTTAAGGGGCCAAAATGACACGATTAGAAGTTAAGATACCAAAATGAGACTATTGCATACTTCAGGGACTACAATGCAACTTCTCCTATAACTGAGGAGATAAAAAACAAAAAAAAAATCATTAAAATGTGAACTTCAACAAAATAATAAATTAATACAGAAGCCATCGGAATCCAATCTGTACTTAAAAGACAAGAGTACATTCTCTCCAGGTCACAAAGACATACAGAGGTTGAAAGAGCAAATGAAACAAAGATTCAAGCACATGGCAGGACCCCTCTATAAATGCAACAAACAAAACAGACAAAGCCAATCTCACAGCAACAGATCCAACAGCCCTTTTTTTACCATTTTACTTCTTCAATACACTGCAATTCAAACAAGGAATCAGGATGAAAACTCAAACAAGTATAAGAGTTGACTATATTATGGCAAGAGTCAGTAGCTCATCTTCTTTGTTTGACCAGTTTGGTTCGATCTATTAACCTGTTGGCGAATAAAATTGTGTTCCAAAACAAATTAAGTAGGGGACATAAAAAGAGAGGTATTGAACTTACTTGTACAAATAGGCGGCAATTCCCAATATTATACACAACAAGATAATATCGATACAGAAATTTCGACTAGACCTCAGCTGGAACCAAACAAGAACTTCATTAATTCCAGTTAAAAAAAAAAAGAAATATGCCAGAGTAAAGCTAAATAAAAATGAAATTTGCTGTATCAAACTAGTTGCAGCTCAATCACCTGGTTAACAGTGTCCTTAAGTCTAACATTGGTATTCTTTAGGTCAGATGTTGCCTTGTCCACCTGTAAGATGTGAAGCAAAATGCTGTGAGTCAATTTTATATTTATTGATCCAATAGTTACAAGGACATGTTAAACTATCAAACCTTAGTGTCAATCTCATCCATCAAAGGAACTTGCCTATCCAATTCCTGCACGCATTGCATAACAACTTGAATTAACGACCATTTATATTGCCAAGCAACAGAGACTAAATCACAATGCAGCAATTCAGCAAACCTCATTCATATCATGGGCCATGTTCTTCAATGTGTCCAAACCTTCTCCTATTATATCCAAACCTTGGTCCTGGATAAACGTCATAGTTAATCATAAATGGAGTGCAGAAACCACAAAGCAAATGCTGCAGCATAAATGATTAACATGCTTTCTCCAAACCAGAAGCCCACCAAGTTAAACAATATCATAATAACAGACACATGCCTGTTTCATTTTCCGCATTTCATACTCTTGCCTGAATTGATTAGACTCGCCAGTTTGCTGGAAATATTCACTGTCAAACCGCCCATCTAAGGAGACATAAATCAACTACCAATTAGGAGAAGCCTACCAGAAACAAAAGATTATAAAAATAGAAATAACAAGCATACACACAGAGAGAGACAGAGATATATATAAGCAAAACAAAGTTAACCAATCACCTGAATCAAACTTGATTTCCGCACGAGAAGCTGAAGATGTCCAGCCTCCACTTTGTTTGGGTGCGCCTGCAGTCCCATCTGGTATGGCTTCGATCCTATCTGGCAGCGCAAGAACCAAATCATTACGGGCAGCAAATTCTTCTGTTGAAAGCCCTTTGACCTGTAAATACAATGCACAATCAATGCAAAAGCAAGCCCAAAATATTTGTCTAATTTCATGCAGCTAGTCAAAAATTACAGGAAGAAAACAACAGAAACAGAAGACATGGCAAAAAATGGCCTTAAAAGATACAGAGGCCAGTGACTGAGAATCAATGAAAAAGAAATACAGCAGAAGCAAGTCACAAATCAAAGAGAAGCGAGTACAAACACTGCTGTTATGGATAAGCAAAGTTATTTACAAAGTATCCTTAGTCCCTCAACTCCACACAACTCCATATTCCTCTGCAACATCACAGGAACGACCAAGCTGGGGTACCTGAGAATAAAGGGATGTTGCCCAGTATAGATATGAAGGACTAAACACCACAGCAAATTCTGCACTTTCTAGCCAACAAATGGTCGCAAACTACAGTCTACCATTTCCAACAAGAATGGCCAGAAATCTAAATTTCCAGCAAAGGGATGGCTTGAATGTTACGAGCTTTGGGCTCAACCATGCAAATCTGAAACGAAAAAAAAAAGGCACCAAAACCTGAATTTTGTTCAAGCAAGTGCACCATCAAATTATGCAATATGTCCGAGGTATTATAAGCTTTATTAGCTTAGTTTCCAAGTAAATTACTTGGTAAAGAGTAACTTGACCACTATGACATTTCTAATATGGTAGGTGATAATTAAACCTAATCAAAGCAACTACTACTCAATCAAGACTTACCTGAATCCCAACATCCAAACAAATAAAATAAGAATTTTTTGAGAAAAAATAATTTCTTCAACCAGACAAATAGAAAACCCACTTGAATTTGATCAAATCAAAGAATCAATAAAGCCTGATCCAAACTGCTAAACCCAATTTCAGCAGAACATCCACCATTATTTCGGATAGTAATACTAATTCATCATAATATCATCCTTTGGCAACCAAGTAACACCAAAAAAGTTTTAAAAAAAAATCACTTCCATCAGCCTAACCTCACTGATCATTCAATGCGTGGAGCACAAAATTCACTGGAAACACATGCAGACATTCAGTTGATGGTAATTAAGACCTAAAAATGAATACTAGTATATGATCCGTACTCTGACATAAGATGTCCAACAAGAGAAATCCGTGAATGGCAAAACAAGATTATATCAAAATGAAATTGATAATAGCTTAGTAGAACTAAGATGATTCCTATGGTTTTCTAACACTAAATATCCCCTCTAGATGAAAGAGGATTCATTTGAAAAGTAACTTCGTACAATCTGCTATAACTGGAAGAACTCAAAAAGGTCCAACAAACTTAGGTCACATCCCTAAAGATATTGCTATTTCTTTTATGGTAATTAAACAAATCTTATTAATAGGAATTAAGCTCTTACAAGAAAAGGGGAAAACAATAAAAAAAAACCCTTAATTAAGAGAGAATATTCAACCTAAGTTGAACTTCTTGATAGCTAAGCAAACCACGCAGCTATACTGCACATAACCTCAAGTATATATATACCATCCACAATCAGAAGGAAGCACCTTACAGTTTAGGTGTTTGGCAGGCATCTATTTTCCAATTCTCCCATCAACCCAAGATCATCTTCTAAACCTCAGCTTGACATCCCAAGAAGAATCAGAAAAGCATTAGAGTCATCCAGGGGCGGCCCGACACATATTGAAAGCCTAAAGCGGCAAATCTGAATGAGACTTTTGAATTTTTTAATACAAATGTAATGTTTTTTTTAATCAAATTATTGTATTCTCAGATTTTACTATCGTATCTTATCAATTACTAACATATATTTTTGTTTGATACTTGTAACAAATTTATCAAAAGAATTTTTTGAGGTACAATTAGTTTTAAAATTTTTCTTATTTTTTAAGTTTTTATATCCGAATGGTTGTCTATAATATAATCAAAATAAATACATATGATAAAAAATAATCTATTATTAAAAAAAATAAGCTTGAATTTAAACAACAGCCCTAAAAATATGAACAATAATGTTTAATTTATCAGTGTTACTTTAAAAAATCAAATTTTGATATTTTGATTCTCTCTTGATCAAAGTTAGATTATCACTCTTGCCAACAAAATTGAGTGGGCTATTTTTAAGTAGGTTTTAAGGTATGAATTTTGTGAAGCAAAAGGACGGGGGGAGAGATGGATTTTGAATTTTGTGGGCTGATTTATGGATGGGTCTAGACCATTGAACATAGAATTTTCATATTAGACTTAAGTTTTATAAGGTTCTTTTTGTATTGATTTAGAATATTATGGGTTTAGAGTTTGGAGCTCAACTATACTGTGGACATATGAAATATGAGGCCTCTTTTATAACTAGGGCCTAAAGCCCACACTTTTTTGAGTCCCCTATTGGGCCGGCCCTGGATTCATCTACTTCTTAACCTTTAAAACTTCATTCCAGAAGGCAGGTTCATTCCAGATCTCAATTCCAGCAAACATGGAAGCTACATATACCTCAAAGGGAATTCCATCAGGGATACAAGCATATTTCATACAGGTTCCAAATCTGCACTATTTGCCTATTTATAGAGGAGTTTGGAAGTTCTAGAGACGACAATCTCCCCTAATCATATCATTAATTATCCTCAAGTTTATTTCAGGATCCAAAGGATTTACAAAAAACACTTGCATTCCTTTATTGTCATATGTAATATACAGTAACAAACAAGCAAAGCTCAGTCACCATCCTGTGTAATGACTTTCCTTACGAATTTACTTGAGCAATCAAATTGTCCCATGATAATGATTGCAAAGCTCGATCACATTTACTAGCAATGGCAGTCCAGATTCTTAAAGAATAAGGACATTCAAAAAATAAATGACAATGATCTTTAGGGCACTTCAGCATAGTATGCAATTAGCATTAATAATATTGCAATAAGCTACTAACCTATCCTTAGTTTTGAGTTTCTTCTTAAAGAATATTTTCTAGATTGTTTGGCTAGAGTTGAGCGATTCTTTGACTATCATGAAATTCCTGAGGAGAGAAAAGTAGGTTTAGTGGCATACAAATTAAAGGGCATTGCTTATCATTGATTTCACCTTCATATTATGATGAATACGAAGTATACAAGTATGGTGCATATCGATCTATGAGGCAATCTTCTTCACAATATAATGATTATTCTCTGACTAAGTCTCAAACAAAACCTGGTGACTACGGATTTTCCAACTTCTTGGGTGGCTCAAAAAGTTAAGGAACAAATATAATCTTCGAGTGTTCCCATTTTTCAGAACCATAAAGATTCAAATCAAAAAAAGATTGAGTTTTATCGGAAAGAAAATATTAAGGAGGAAGATGAATGTGAGTGGCCTTATGGTGATATAGGGGAGCTTCTTGAAGATTATCATGTTAAAGTTAAGGAAAAATGTCAAGAAGAAATTAATGAAAATAGCACATGGGATGGTGCGACAACTAAAGTCATTGTAGTTGAGCTCCATACATCGAAGACTGATGAAATTAGTGAAGAAAATAAAAATTTGTGATGAGAAAGCATATGACGACACTTTTTGTAATAACTTTCTTGATCATCATGATAATTCAAGGGAATTAATGAGTGTGCACTACGGATTTCTTAATGACGTTAATTTTGGTTGCCAAACAAAATCCAACACTGATAATTGTGACCTTCTTGGATTGGAAACAAATTAAGATGAAATAGACACTAGGTTGACTTTACAGGATGTTTGTCAAGAAATTCTTAACACCATGATATAGCTACAAAATGATATTGAATGTAAAATCCGGGCATTGAAGATTTATGTGATAGCGTGCTTAGAAAGATTAATCTGAAATACAAAGCAGCTACAAATAAACAAAGACGTATCGAACTATTTCAAGCAATAGAAATTTGAGAACGAGTTTTTTTTAAGGAGGGGTCTGATGTAGAACAAGATTATCAATTTTCTATTTTATTTTTATTATTTAGGATACTAGGAATATTTTATTTTATTCTAGAGTGATTTAGTTGCCTAAACCATATCAATTTTTCTAATTCATTAGACATGTGTTTATTTGTTTTTAGTAATTTTCCTAAGGTTGGGGATTTGTTTCCGCTTTAGAAACCCTTAGGGTTTGGAGTTATCCTATAAATTGTCTAATGTACTAAGATTTAATCGAGTCAATAATATACCTTTTCATAGTTGTTCTCTTATTCTTCTAATGTAGATCGTACTAGCTCTGATACCAAATTGATGTAGATCGTATTAGGGAAGAATTAGGGATGAGAATGAAAGAAGAAAGGTATGAGAAAAGAAGAAGAAGGAGATGAGAATAGAGAGAGAATTTTAGGAAAAAGATTCAATATCAATAATCAATAATCAAAATCTAATCTCACAACAAATATGTATCCCGTATATATATATAAGGAGTTCACAAATCCTATATATATAAGGAGATCACAAACCCTAAAATAAATAAATAATCTAAATGACAACTAAACCCTTAAAAGTTAAAAGAAAATACTTAAAAAATAAATACTAAATTACTCTCATGTTTAATTTAAAATATCTATCCAATTCCTACATGATCCTTATCAAAGAGCTTATGAGAGATTATCGTAAGGATAAAGGTCTTCCTAGGTGTGTTGTGATGGTGGATCTTATGAAAGCCTATGATACTATTAGTTGGAACTTTATGTTACAAGCTTTAAGTGCATTACTGTTTCCTCCAGTTGGGGTGCATTGGATTAGAGCACGCATGACTTCCCCTAAGTTTTTAGTTACCATTAATGGGGAACTAGCATGAAATTATAGAGGTCTTAGACAAGGACGCCCTATTTCTCCTTATCTATTTGTCCTAGCCATGGAGACTCTTACTCAGTTACTTTCCAGGAGTATTAATAATTTTCAGGATTTTCGTTTTCATTGGAGATGTGATAAACCCAAATTATCTCAAATCTATTTTGCAGATGATTTGATCATGATGATCTATGGTGACACTGCATCTGCACTAGTACTTAAAGCTTCATTATATCAGTTTGAGTCTATCTCTAGGCTTAGAGCTAATAATGCAAAAATACAGATTTTTTGAGCTGGGGTTCAAGAAGATATTAAGCAGCAGATTAGTCATTGCTTTAGCTTCTTGGGAGGCAGCATTCCGATAAGGTACTTAGGTGTTCCTATTATATCTAGTCGTGTGAGCATTTAATCAGGAAAATTGAGGCTCGTATTAAGTCTTGGGTCAATAAATCTTTGTCATATGCTTGGAGGATACGACTTACTCATTCTGTTTTATGCTGCATGCAGAGTTTCTAGTGTAGTCATTTTATCATTCCCAAGTTTGCCTTGAAAAAGGATTGAGCAACCTTAAGAGGTTTTCTCTGGTCTGGAACAAAAATGAAGTTGTCAGGTGCTAATGTGGCATGGGAAGAGGTTACTAAACCAAAGAAGGAGGGAGGTCTAATGACATAGTATACAAGAAACTTACTGATGGGAATAAAGCTTTAATGATAACTCATATTTGAAATTTGTTTATAGATGATTGCAGATTATGGGATCAAAGGATCAAAAGTTTTTATTTGAGAGGCAAGAGTTTATGGGAGATGAAGACACCACAAGTATGTTCATGGGCATGGCTAAAGATAGTGAAATTCAGACAGTTAACTAGACCTTTTATGAAACATTTGACCGGTGATGGGTCAAATACCAAGCTTTGGTTTGATGGTTGGCATCCTCATGGACCTTTGATATTTAGATGGCGTTAAATAGTGATATATGACTCAAGGTTATTTAAGGATTCAATGGTTAATTCTATTGTCCTGAATGATCGATGCTATGAAGCAGGATACTTGTTCAAGGTCAGCGTATTTGTAGTGGATACTGTACTCATCGGATACTTGAAGATACCTATTAGATAGACATTATACGTATCCGGTAAATAATAAAATATGTAGATATTTTACGGATAATTCTAAATATGGAGTAAGATGTATAATTTTTAATTTTAATCTATATCTTTTCCTTTCGAGTTCACATACAATACAAAATATCAACAAAATTCCATCTAATTTTGAAGACATGAGTGTTTTTTAAGTATTATCATGTCAAAAGAGTATAAAGAAATGAGTTGGTTATACTATAATCTTAAAAATAAATGCTTGTAAACAAACCAACTAGTTAAATGTGATTTTAATTCCTTTAATTGATCATACTCATTTTATGGATATATCATAATGAGACGATATAAGTCTTTTTCAAAAGTAAAAATTTCTAATTTTGATTACTACTATTAGAGAATTATTGAAAATTATAACTTTTAAGTCATTAAATAATAGTAAAATATGAAATATATTTTATCATAAACGTATCATGATCGTACCCGTATCCCACTTATCGTCGTATCTTTATCGTATCACGTATCCATATTCGTGATTCCTAGGATCGATGGTTCTAGCCAGCACTAACTTCTAAGGAATTGAGAGTTATTGATGTAGCGGTAAATGAGAGGACACAAAGAGATCATCATCTCTAAGTGTATAGAACAAGAACACCCTGAATCCATAAAGAAGATGATAGGGATCATGTAAGAATTGGATAGATATTTTAAATTAAACATGAGAGTAATTTAGCATTTATTTTTTAAGTATTTTCTTTTAACTTTTAAGAGTTTAGTTGTCATTTTGATTATTTATTTATTTTAGGGTTTATATAGGATTTGTGAACTCCTTATATATATATATAGGGGATACATATTTGTTGTGAGATTAGACTTTGATTGTTGATTTTTGATATTGAATTTTCTTCCTAAAATTCTTTCTCTATTCTCATCTCCTTCTTCTTCTTTTCTCATCCCTTTCTTCTTCCATTTTCATCCATAATTCTTCCTTAATATGATTTACATCACTCTTGAACCAAAAGCTTGTAACATAATCTATCATATCCTTGTCTCAAATCTTTCTCCTTGGAACAAAGGTTGTTTGGTTGAAGCTTATCAAATCTAGAAGAACCACTTTAATATTGTTAGCAATAAGATTTGAAATAGCTTTGTATAAGGTATTGCAACAAGATATTGACCCAAAGTCTGCCATACTTGATGGATTAAGCACTTTTAGAACAAGGGTAATAGTGGAATTCAACTCTTTTAACAAATGACCTTTTGTAAAGAACTTAATAATAGCAAAAGTGACATCTAAACCAATAATAGACCAAGCTTTTTTGTGAAAAAATATTGTATAAACCATCTAGTCTAGGAGCTTTGTTATTTTAAGGGAGAATATGACCTTCTTGACCTCTTCAACTCAAGGTATTAAACTCATTACAAAAGCTTGAGACACAGAAATTGTCTGATAAAATAGATTTTGGAAAACAAGAGCTTCAAAGGCTAACAAACAGCTTCTTTAGTTAACCTCTTCACTACCAGTTGCAATAGTATCATTTGATCTCTTGATAGAGATGATTTTATTTTGATTTCTCTTGTTGGACATGGTTTTGAAAAAATAAGCTGAATTCTGATCACCAAGATGTAACCATTGAACCCTTGATTTCTGTATGTAGAATGCTTATTCATCAGTAATTTTTGCAACATATTTCTACAACAAAAATTCCTCTTCATCCCTCGATGTCTTTTAGAAAGGTGCATTGTCTAGTTCCTTTTGAGATTTCTCCAAAGCCAATTTAGCCTCCTTAGTGACCAAGGAGGTAAGGTTTCCAATTTGTTTCTGGTTAATCCTCTTAAACTCTTGCTTTTACAGCTCAAGTTTTTGATGAGCAACAGTCGAAGAAAATTTTCTTTATCAGCCAAAAAATTAAAGAATTTAAAATGACAAGACTTTTCTTATGTTTTGATCCTAACCTCACAATACCAGGACTATGATCATAGCCACCAACAAATAAAAACTCTGCTTCACCATGTACTAGTTCCAATATCCATTTAGCATTAACAAGAACTCAGTCAAGTTTCCTTACCATACAAGCCTCACCAACCCTTTTATTCTACCAAGTATAAAGAATACTAGAATATCTGAGTTTCCTGTAAGCAATTATCAAAATTCTCCATAGCTTGTGTCCACTTAAAACTTCCTCCCTTATCTAATGGCGGATTATAGAAGAGACTAGCAAATGATAAGATATATCTTGCCAAAGGTGTCTTCTCAATTGATCATCATTAGAAGCATACACAAATGTAATATAACACTTTAGCTTATTCTCCTTATGAGTCACAAGGCAATGGACAGCCTGATCAGATTCAGCTACCTTATTGATAGAAAGTATATTTGGGTTCCATCCCACCCAAATTTTTCCCAAGGCATGATAATTATAATTCTCAAAATGATCCCATTGTTTGAAGAATATAAGCTAAATGAGAAAACAAAAAGGGATAATTCAGGTAATCCCATAGGACTCTTCCATATTGTTGGTTAGCTTGAACTTGCAGTGTAAGGACTGCCATTAAACAATCTTGCCCCCCTCATCATCAATCTAGGTTATGCAGAGGGATGGAATGTGCAGTGGAATTGAATAGACGATCATAACTTCAATATAACAATTCCATTAAATGAATGTTGTTTGCAACAACTTCATAACTCATGAAATACATGCCAACAAAAAAAGTCTCAAAGTGTTATTTTCCGAAAATGTTAATAGGGGAGGTAGTGTATGATATCACCAAAAAAAAAAAACAGAAAAATGCATCATAAACCTAAAATAATACAAAAGCAATCAAGTCAACATAAGGAACGTAAATAAAAACACAAGTATACCCATTTCTATTCAAAATGAATCGAAATTGGAAAAAAATGAGACCTTTTTCATAGCCAATCTCTGCAATTTGGGGACATCCTCAAGCAACCGCGCCTTGGTGCGACGAATCTCCGCATTAATCGCTACTACAGAAGCCCTATTTTTCTCCTTGGAAGCTGCCGAGGCTTTCTGAAGAACCAAATTGCTTACACTTTAATTCAAAATCAAAATCTTAAAATTAGACAATATGAAACAGAGATCAAGATTGACCTGAAGAGCGGCATCGATGTCGGCTTCGACGCCGGAGTAGAGGCGAGCGAAGGCATCTTCGCCGGAGACATTTAGATCTTTCTGCTTGTCAACATCGTATTTGTCGTACTTCTTGCAGATCGAATCGACTCGAGTTAAAATATCGATCACACTCATTTCTGGTTCAGTTGGATTTCTCTTTGTCTCTCTTGATTCCGGAGATAACAACAGTATTGGGTTGGAAAAGGAGGAATTGATGATCCAGAGTGGGGATTCAAACGGGAAGAAACATAATCCAGGCTGTATTTGCAAATTTTACAAAGTTCTTATAGTCATGGGTAAATTACATTCAGATACGTTTGAACTTCTTTCCTAATTCAGACACGCCCCCTTAGGTATGAAAAATAACAAAAAAAATCCCCTGCTACTAATAATTTGCAAACCAAAACCAATTTATCCTGCTCTTTCACTGGAAGATTAATAAAAAAAATTCTTTGTGTTGTTGAGTAAGGTTAGTTCAAATTAGTGGATCTGAAAATATGATACGACAAGTTAACACGATATTAATATGGTATAAATTTAGAGAATTTTTTTTTAAGTCATCTGTTTGTAAACAAAAAAATCTAACACGACACGATTAATGAATTAATATGAATGAAATTAATTAAAAAAATACATTATAAAACTTGTTTCTATATCTGTTATTCACAATTTGTACATGACAGGAATCTGGAATGACATTGTTTGGCGTATGTTTGGATTGTGAGTGTATCAAAGTTCGATTCGACTTAAGATCCAAAAGCGTACAATCTTATCTTTTCTTTTCGAATCAGTGTAAGATTTTAAAATCGTGATTATTTAGGCAATTGTAACGAGGCGTAAGACTACCTTTGAGTTCTTTTCTATGCCTTCAGGATTAAGGACTTTAAATAATTTTTCAACTAGCAACGTAATGGACTAGAGCGAAGAAATAAAGTTGTAATATAAAGTAACAGATAAACTAAATTAGAAGATGTAAAGAGTACTGTAGTTAACATTAAATGAAAGCGATAAAGATTGGATATCATGTGTTGCTCATGTTAAAGCGGCAAAAGGTACTCTGTAGCGTCACCTTGACCTCTATGATGCTATAGAACTTAGCATTATCACGATGCCTATCGACAAATAGCTACTTTGCGCTGCTTTTTTATTCTGATTCGTGACGAACAGTACCTTTCAATTTCATTTTTGGCATGACAGTCCCTAGGGTCTATGATATACCTGCACTACTCGCCTTTTCTCCTTTTGGGGCTGAGGCTAATGTTTTACTTGCTTATGTTGAAGCGAGCTATACTACTTTCCAACTGATGTGCCAGGCAAGCCAATTTTTGTTTATTCCCTCTTTATTGCAGCCTATCGTGGCTTCAATGATTCTTCAGTATGAACAAGAACACACATCTCATTCCTACTTTATTGGTTTAATCATTATTCTTCTGCACATCGTCATACAAAGGTACTAAGGAGTACATTTAGCTGGCCATCAATCTAGCCGCAAGAACTTCCTATACCCTTGCTCCTATAATGCTCGCCCACTTTTATCGTGGGATGTGGGTCACTATGGCAGCGAGGATGAGTAAAGGCTTAGGTCCCCTTTGGGTGTTTCAACTATGGTTTCGTGCTTATTTTTCAGAGCTCTCTATACCACCTAGGACTGTCCATGAGCTTGGTTGGGCTCAACCAGTGAATTTGTTTTGGGCGGGGCTTTGGATAGTGTAGGCCTAAACTCATACTTGGGCGAGTGGAGGGTCGGGCTAGGTTTCAGGTAGGGGTAAGCTACCCGCAGTTCAGCCCAACCCGTCACCTATTAAGCGGGCTTTGCGGGCAGGCTTTTGTTGGGCTTGTTGGGCGGGTTTGTTTTGGGTCTATTTTAGGCGGCTTGTTGGGCCCTATTAAAAAAATACATCTTTATTTAATTTTTTTGTAAATTATATGTTTGAATTAAAAGTATAGTCAAAATTAAAAAGAACAAAAATTAAATAATGAATAATTTTATTTATGAATATAAGAGAAATTGAATCATAATAGAATGAGTACATCCCAACTAGATTTACCCCTACTCACCTATCTATCATTTGCATAATTCTACCCATTAAAAGCTTTTGTACATAGAAAGCTTGTATATTTAATACATGAAAAAAAAAATACATTAGTCTTAATATCTAAATTTCTAAAACTTCAAATTCTGACGTTGAGGGATTTATTTTAATATTTTGATCTTTTGTTTTAGCGGCATACCAATCTTGAAGGCACATGAGGGCTTTCACTGTCTTTCCATCCAAACAATTTCTATGCTCATCAATGACACGTCCACCTATACTAAAAGCAGATTCAGATGTTACAGTCGACATAGGAACTGGTAGTATATCACGAGCCATGGTGGAAAAAATTGGAAGCCTACTTTCATATCCTTTCTACCAGGCCAAAATATCAAAATCAGAATCTTTAACACCTACCAGTGGAGCATTATAATATTGCTGAAGTTTAGTTAATCCCTTGGATGTTAACATACCTCCTCTGGTTAATATTGAAGTTAGCATAGATGTTTTACCTTTACCATTATTAGTTTTTTTTTTTTTTTTAGAAAAAGGAAAAATTTATTGATAAAACCTCAAAATTACAAGAATCAAAACAGAAACTATTTTTAGGCAAAAACAATAATTGTGTTTACAAAAATTGAAACAGATAAATTGTTACAAACAGATTTTCTGTTTTGTAACAGAAATTCTGTTAAAAAACATTTATAGGAAAAAATAGACAAAAGTTTGATCTTCCACCTGTACGCCTGCTGCAACTACTGTACCAATTACAAATACCCAACAGCTCACATAGAATCATCCAACCAGCACTCCAGTTCAGGTCCTGTTGCATCTGCTAAATCAGCTGAAAAACCAGCTCACCAGCTCCATCAACACAGCAACTCTCCTTACTGGCACCAGTCAACATTCCTATATAGCTGTTGTATCCCATAGCTCAACATCTTAACCTTTGAATCTCCTCCACTACTGTAAATGTCAAGATAGCAATGTAGCAACAGTAGCACAACAGAATTGTCATCATACATTCCTAGCAATACATAGGAGCTAGCTTTAATCCAGAGCATCTGGGTACTGTCCATACATTCACTCCAGTCATCACTGTACTTCTGCCCACTTCGTCAACATCATCATTCAATCCCATGCCTTTGCTCACAAACAAGCACTCTCTTCAATCTAGCAATGGGCATCATGCCTTGATCCTATTGCAGGAGTAATCTGCCAGCAAGTGGCAGTACTTCCCTTTCAGAAAATTCAGAGCAACTGCCAGAATTCACTACATAAGAAGCCAAAAAATCTGCAACTTTATTAGCTTCCCTATATACATGTCTAAATTTGAAATTTAAATCCCCCAAAATTGTCCATATTTGCTCCAAAACTCTCCTCATTCTCCAAGGCACTTCTACTTTCTTCAAAACCATTTGAACTAACACATGAGAATCAGATTCAATACATATTTGTTCTCCCTCCAGACCATGCCTCAAGACCAGATTTAACCCATCCAGCAAGGCCATACACTCAGCCTTCATATTTGATCCTATCCCATAGAATATAGCAGCTGCTAGTACAACATGACCTTGAACATTTCTTAAAACCATACCTCCACCAGCAAGACCACTGTTCCCTTTAGAAGCTCCATCTACATTCAATTTCAACATGGAATCTGAAGGGGGTTCCCATTTAATCCCACTTAACTCTAGTATAGACATAGAAAGGATCAATAATTTTCAAATCATTCAACATTTTCTTTCCCTCAATTCATCCATTCTCTTAGACTTAATCAAATAAGCCCGCCCTCTCAAAGCATGAAGCACCTGCAAAAATATGCCATAGGCATTTAAATACAAGCCCTCAAACCTTCTCCTACACCTTTCCTTCCATAATGCCCAAAAAACCAACATAGCAACTCCTCTAATCAAATTATGAATCAGAGATTGGGCCTTAAAAGATCTAAGCAGTCTCAAGAATCTACATATAGGAGATTCACTTCTACAAAGCACAAAACCCATAACATTAGATAATCTCCACCACACATTATGAGCAAAACAACAATTAACAAACAAATGAGTAATATTCTCCACCTTCATACCACATAGACTGCATCTACTCACCAAGGAAATTCCCATACTTTGCACCCTAGCATCAGTAGAAAAAGCATTCTTATATATCTTCCAAGTACACAACTGAGCACTAGGAAATATGTGCTGCTTCCATATACCCTGAGCAATTTCTGAATGGTCAGTCATTGTGGGCCAAGGTGTTTAGGGGGGAATTCACTAGAAGCTGAAGGGGGAGTAAGTGTACCACCATTTCCAAATGTTACACTGTATTCAATAAAAAAATTTTAAAATAATATTTTATTTTATTCATGTGGTTCATGTGTGCATTATTTAAGTTACCATATAGAGACGTAAAAACACTTGTGAGGCCAAATTCTTTAAATCGAGGGTCAATTAACATACCAAAACCAACAAGTATAGGAAGTGGTGAGAAATATTTATTAAATTTAGATTGCATATTATGTAAAATAGTAGAAAATTTAGGTTCAGTACTATATTGTTAAAAAAGATCACTTATACTAACTATACGAACATAGGTAAGTGTAATAATTGGATAATAATTACCAGATAAAATCATAGTTGTCTTATAAAAAACTTTCAAAAAATCGTTCATTTTATCAGTGACATCTCATTCCTCTTCAGTGGGACGTGACAATGAACCAATGGTATCTATACTAACATAGTCATTTAAGACAGCTTTATATTTAACTGCTACATCTAGCATTTTATAGGTAGAGTTCCACCTATGTTGTACATCATATGATATATATATTTTTTTTGCATTTTAAATTATTCTTTTTACACATAGTTCCAAATGTCCTAAGTCAGAACCTATTATATGGTAAATAATATGTTTAATTTTATCAATTACAAATTTAATATCATGGAGACCACTTTGTACTATGAGATTTATGATATGACACGTACATCTCATATGAAAAAAAATACTTTCACATGATAAAGTTAAATAACATTTTAAATGACTTACAACCCCACTATTATTTGTTGCATTATTTAAAATAATAGTAAAAATCTTGTCTTGAAT